ATACTTTATTGTTAATAATACTCTGTTAGTTTTTTTGGTCGGATTACACATTTTTCCTCCAATGCAGAGATCTCTCAGACAAAGTAAATACAAAAAAACGACACAGTTTCAGATAACTTCCACTCGCGTCTCAAGTACAATCTATAAATTACTCGCTTTACATGACGAACACGTGTCCTTATATATCACAAGAGCGAGTATGTTTACGAACTGTACTTGCGAGTGTTATGATGGGAGCATAAATTTTGAATTATGTTTCTTCACAACGGGTCTCTCTCTCTCTCTCCTCTGCACAGGTTTTGAAAAATCTCTCCTTTCACTTAGCTCGAAAAGAAGAGGGAAATACAAAAATATAAAATAGAAATCAAAATTAAACTAAAACAATTCTTTTTAGGAAAAACAAAAGTAAAGATTTTTCATCATGAGTCCTCCTCCTCCTCCTCCTCACTCATTCCTAATCACAAATCTCTCCATTCTCGAATTAGGGCACTCGTTTTCGGAATAAAAGTCTCATCTTTATTTTGTTCTCTTCTTCTTCTTCTTCTTCTTCTTCTTAGTATCGAAACCTAGAAGAAGTTTCTCTTTTTGGAATCTGTGGAATTAAGGGAATGGGTATCCCGAATTGGGGATTCTTAGTGATTTTTGCAGCTACCCTTTTGGTTTCGTGCTCTTTTGCTCTCACACTTGATGGTTAGTCAAACCACTTTCTTACTCACTCATAAGTCCTTTGCTTTTTTTTTTTTGGTTGGTGAGAAATCTGAGATTTGATCATCAGGAACTTCTTTCTAAACTCACCAAAATTTGAGCTTTGATCTTGTAGGGTTTGCTCTTTTGGAATTGAAGAGTGGATTTAATGATACGAGGAACTCTTTAGACAACTGGAAAGATTCAGATGAGACACCTTGTTCTTGGACTGGCGTCTCCTGTAATTCTCAAGACCAAAGAGTAGTTTCTATGTAAGAAATTTCTTGGTCCTCTTCTTTACCACTTTCAACTTCTTTCTTGATCTAAATTGTGGTTTTTGGAAACTCATGGATTATGCAGAAACTTACCTTACATGCAACTAGGAGGGGTTCTATCTCCTAGCATAGGAAAGCTTAGTAGATTGCAGAGACTGTGAGTTATAAATCATTGTAGATTTGTTCTCTTTGCTAAAATTTAATATCTTTTTAACTAGTTTGCTTAATTCAAATTTTGTTGGAGTTATGTAGGGCACTTCATCAGAACAGCTTACATGGGACAATCCCGAATGAAATCACCAATTGTACTGAGCTCAGAGCTATGTAAGTCAGATTTTTCCATTTAAGCAGTAACTTCGATTAGTGGGGTTGGTTTGATCTTAAACCAAATCCCAGCCTTATGCCAAGGCTTTTGTTAGTGTTAGAGCCATGAACATTGGTACATGCTTTCAGGTATTTGAGGGCAAATTTTCTTCAAGGCGGGATTCCACCGGATATTGGCAACCTTACATTCCTCACTATATTGTAAGATTCAAATTTTGTTTTTGTATTTTTCGTTTCGTTATCTGTTCGAAGTTGATCATTTTAAAGAATTTGTGATGCTTTGGATATTTCAGGGATCTATCAAGCAATACCCTGAAAGGTGCTATTCCTTCTTCAATTAGTCGATTGAATCGATTACGCTCCTTGTAAGTAAAAAACAGAATCTTGTGTTTAGATGTTAACTGTGAAAGATTTGTACGGTTAATCCTCAACTATTTGTTTGATTCAGGAACTTGTCAACCAACTTTTTCTCTGGTGAGATCCCGGACATTGGAGTTCTCAGCAGATTCGGGGTTGAAACGTGAGATTTCTCATCTATAAAATTGTTGGTTTTACATCATCTGAGAGTTTTCAAAAACTTTTGTGCTAATGTTAGACTTGAATGTTATTTCTGATTGTGGTTTTGTGTCTTTATGGTTAGATTTACTGGTAATTTGGATCTTTGCGGCCGGCAAATTCACAAGCCATGTAGATCATCAATGGGTTTCCCTGTTGTTCTTCCCCATGCAGAAACGGATGATGAATCAGGCAAGATCCTGTACTAACTAAATCATCGGTTCTCCACACTTCCTCTGGCTAAACTTTCTGATTCTTGATATCTTTTTAAAAATCCTGACAGATCCTCCAAAGCGGTCTTCGCGCTTGATTAAAGGAATTTTGATAGGAGCAATGTCTACAATGGCTCTTGCATTCATTGTGATATTTGTGTTCCTCTGGGTTTGGATGCTCTCAAAGAAGGAAAGAACAGTAAAGAAGTACACAGAAGTCAAGAAACAAAAGGAACCATCCGACACCAGTAAGATCCACATAAGAGAAATATAAATGTTCTGTTGTCTTTTCTTTTTGCTAATCACTTTTGTAAATTGTGTTTCTACATTTGTCTTTTATAAAAAGGTAAGAAGCTAATTACTTTCCATGGCGATCTTCCATACTCCTCGACCGAGCTTATCGAGAAGCTAGAGTCTCTTGATGAGGAAGACATTGTGGGTTCAGGAGGATTTGGCACGGTTTATCGAATGGTGATGAATGATCTTGGAACCTTTGCGGTTAAGAAGATAGATAGGAGTCGACAAGGATCAGACCGAGTTTTTGAGCGAGAGGTAGAGATTTTGGGTAGTGTCAAACACATCAATCTAGTGAACCTACGTGGCTACTGCCGCTTACCATCTTCAAGACTTCTCATCTATGATTATCTAACCGTGGGGAGCTTAGACGATCTTCTACATGGTAAATCCACTTATACATATCTTATATTTCGTTTTGGTCTGCGATGCGTATTGATCTTGTTTTTTCTTTTTTTGGTTTCTTATCTCTGAAGAACGAGCACAAGAAGACGGTTTGCTGAATTGGAGCGCTCGGTTGAAAATAGCACTAGGTTCTGCGAGGGGTCTAGCGTATCTGCACCATGATTGTAGTCCTAAAATAGTACATCGTGATATTAAATCAAGCAATATTCTACTCAATGATAAACTAGAACCTAGAGTCTCGGACTTTGGTCTGGCAAAGCTTCTTGTTGACGAAGACGCTCATGTTACCACTGTGGTAGCTGGTACCTTTGGCTATCTGGCTCCAGGTTCTGTTCTTTGCAAACTTCCTTTATGAATCTTAGACCAACAAATCACTAAAGTTTCTAACTTTGTATGAATCTTGGAAACAGAGTATCTGCAAAATGGGAGAGCTACGGAGAAGTCTGATGTCTACAGCTTTGGGGTTCTTCTCCTAGAGCTTGTTACTGGAAAAAGACCAACAGATCCAATATTCGTTAAACGAGGCTTGAATGTGGTTGGATGGGTAAGAAAACTCCTCAAGATCTTTCTCTGACAAGAACCGTGTTCTGTTTTTACTTCTTAAGTTTCGGTTTCTAAGTTCTAACGGAATGTACGTTATCTCAGATGAACACTGTGTTGAAAGAGAATCGATTTGAGGATGTGATGGACAAGAGATGCGCCGATGTAGACGAAGACTCTGTTGAGGCATTGCTCGAGATAGCTGCGAGGTGTACAGACGCTAACCCGGAGGAAAGGCCGGCTATGAACCAGGTGGCACAGTTGCTTGAGCAAGAAGTCATGTCGCCTTCTGCCATTGATTACTACGATGATTCTCAGTCCGATTACTGTTAGGGCTTATGCACGGTAAAGGTAACCGGTAAATCTTACACCCGCCACGATTTTTGTTGTTGTTGTTGTTGCTGTTATGAATGTTGTGATTTGGGATCGAGGGGTTTGTTTGTATATTAGAGATGAAGGTGGAGTCAGATTATTGAGGTGCATTGTTCTTGTGCACTTTTAAAGTTTTTGTAACGAAATGATCATTTCTCATTTTTTTTCCAATATGCAAAGCAGAGGAGACTTGAGAGCTCTGTTATTTATTTTTGGTTTGGTTCTGTTTTGTCTTAATTTTTTTTTATCTTGACCAAATAGTGTTTTTCTTTTTCGACAGCAGACTAAATAGTGGGTTTACTAATATATAATCATAAAAATTAAGAAAATTGTATCATTTTAGCAAATCTTAGAATTTTAAAATTGATATGAATAAAATATTTTGTTCATATGAAAAAAATGCTGAGATTTAATTACAAGCAAGCAAGCAAGCTGTGTTAGAGAATAAACAGTTTATAGTTTCTTTTCCTCGAATTATTTTATATTATCTGCTGAATAATCAAATGACCTTTCGTCAAAAGGAAGAGACTTCGTACACCTCCAAGCCTCATCAACCTCTTAAAGGGCCAATGCTTTGTTGCCCTATATGCTTTGCTATCTACACGTACATATATACATACATTCATATATAATCGTTATTTAAATATTCATGTTAATACACAATGGTAATTGCTTTCACTTAATTATGTTACATATATCACAAGAGACCAAATGATATCATTAGGACCTTTGGAAAAATACCCGGAACTCTTGGAAAATTCGATTCTTCCATACGTATATTATTATTATTATAACTAAGCAATCAGTTTAATAGTTTTTTTTTCTTTTGGCCATCGTAAACTGACACAATAAGTTAGTCAACTTATAACATGCAGATTTTGGAAATTAAATCGATTTTTAGTCTAACTTTATTTGCTTAAAGAAATTATAACCTAATACCGAATTAATTAAATTGCAAAACTGTACTATAGTATTCTCAAACTGGCTAAATATAATTAGTTTTTTTTTTATAACTTTGACAGTGAAAAATTTCAAACAAATATATATTAGTGAATATGCTATTGTCGTTGTACATTGTATAGATAGTTATAATATTTGTGTACATATAAAAAAGAACCACAAGGCAACTAGCAGCATAAAATAAAATGATTAAATATACAAATATTTTCATAATTGAACTGAATTATAGTATTGTAACGTAAACAAATGTATAATTAATATTTCTCGTAAATAAATTGATCAATATTAATTTCATGATCATGATATTTAGCATATTTTCTATATTTTAAAATTGATATCTATTGTGGAATTATACGTAAGTATATACTAACTATTCTTCGCTATATTTGCGTGTGTGTATATATAAATACATGCATACATGTATCACTTGTCTCTCCCCCATTGGTTAAGAAACAGAGAGAAACGGTAATTTAAAGATTTTGCTAAGATATTTTAGATCAAGAATCCGACTTTTGAGCGGGTCTTATCTTTATTCTCCACCTCAAAGAACCACTTTCGTCATGGCCTCTGTTGCCGTGAAGCCACTACCTCTTCTTGGCCGGACCCTCACTTCCACGGCGGCTTCAAAATCTCCGCCAATGCTGGCCAACGTTTCAAGCAGGCATTTTCTCGAGATCTCTTCGTATAACGGATTCTTGAGGCAAATAAAAACTCCGGCAACTTTGAGCCACCGCCGGAAAGTAAGCACGGTGGTGGCTTCGGCGGGAAACTTGACGGCATCGTCGTGGGACTCTTGGAAGCCAGATAAGACGGCGGCGGCTACGGCTTTGTTGCTGAGTGATGTCATTTGGCCTGCAGCTGGTTAGTCATTAAGAAATATACAGTATTATACTACTAATTACTATTTAACATCGTAATTTTTTTTTATTATGTTAATTTTATCCGTCAAAATGTTTTGAGATCATAATTCTGTTACTAATGTTTTCTCGATCTTTAAAAATTGATGCACTTTGGTTCTCAATCAGAAGAACTACAAATGACGATTAGGTTATAAAAATAGCAAAAACGAAAACTAAAAAGGAAGAGAGAAGATGTGCACAGTACAAAGAATATTTTAAATTAGTAAAACTAATTAATGTGATAAAAATAAAAATATATTCATTTCTGACTCAGAGAGAATGTGTCTCTTCCTAAGGCCAAATAGTCATTTTATGTGAACCTAACGTTCGAGTTTGACCATTTTATTAAAATTACCTTATTTGATAAAAGGTGTGATCTCAGGATATAGAAGTTACTAAGTCTTAAAATAAATTGACAAAAATATTAACTGGAATATAGGTTTATGACATAAATAAATGGAAAGACTAGTTAATCGACTAATCGTTAATGATAGTATATGTTTGAATCGTGGCATGTAATATTTGATTATGCTAAGTACCTTAGTGGTGGGATATATATATGTATACATGTAGTCAAGTTTTTGTTTTTTCTTTGTTTAGAATCTTAGTTTGTGTTTAGTCAAACCCTATGCTGACAGAGAGCTTATATTACAGATTTACAGTATTATTCAAGGTTTATAGCTGACTTCTTCCATTAATTATGAAATTATATTCATGTCATGTGTGACAGAGCTATGATTACCGATGAACTTGATCTAAATTTCAACTGATATTAATTAAAAATTATGTAATCCTCATTTTATTTCTTTTTATAACGTCATGGTTGGAAATTCGAATCAAAAATTTTGACAAAATTTGGAACGTTAATAAACTAAACTAGTTTAGTAGTGAATTACTATACTAAAAGAACATACACGATCGGGTAACGAAAACTGATGTTGTGTTGTTAAAGATTTTTTGTGACTAACACATGTTATCATGTAATATTTATGGATTCATTTCTGTTAACTATTTTTTCCTAATTATCAACTTAATCATAATTTTTTTTTAGACCCTTGAAAAAAAGAGAGAGAGAGTTGTGCAATGATAATACCATTTGTTTTGGTTTCTTAATTATGAAATATTGTTTATGAGTAGGAGCGTTTGCGGCAATGGCAATATTGGGAAGAATGGATCAAATGCTATCTCCAAAAGGGATATCAATGTCAGTTGCACCACTTGGTGCCGTCTCCGCCATTCTTTTCACCACTCCTTCTGCTCCTGCTGCTCGTGTGAGTCTTCCAACCACTTTTTTCATCTTAATAGCCATCTTTTATACTATTTATTTGTGGTCGAACGCAATCGCTTCTTTTGTTTCTTTTTCCATTAGATATAAACTCAATCACTACCAAAAGTGAGTTGTTAGGATTTGAATGGTGTAAAACAAACTTATACACAGAGGAATTAAATAGTGAAAAGTATAAAGTAGTAGTAGTTAGACGAAATATTTCCCCATTAACTTATATATATATATATATCCCATAAACTTATTAGTGGAAGATGATCTTCTAATTTTTCTCTCGTGCTTTCACTTTTCCTATGGAACAAATTAAAGAGGACCACTATTTTATTGTTCATTGTTTCTTTTCATGTCTTTGGATAATCTCAGCCACAGCCTATTTGAGCCATCACATCATGTTAAAATAGGAAGTTTAAATATATTGGTAAATTTGTCATTATATCAGTTAATTAACTTAATTAATTGAGTAGTGTGTGTTTTGTGTTTCTTATATTTTCAGAAATACAATATGTTTTTGGCTCAAATAGGTTGTGCTGCGATTGGTGTGGTAGCCTTCTCCGTCTTCGGGCCAGGCTGGCTCGCCCGGAGCGTTGCCCTCGCTGCTTCCATCGCATTCATGGTCATTGCTCGTGCCAATCACCCTCCTGGTATATTATATTTGTTAAATTTACTTTTACATAACTCTGAAATAAAAAGTTTCTTGATTAATAGAGCGAAGTATACATATTTAATTATCAAACCAAACCGAACCAAAATATACAAACCAAATTGATAGACTAATAAAGATTATGTTCTTTAACCAGCGGCGAGCTTACCATTAATGTTCATAGATGGAGCAAAGTTCCATCACTTGAATTTCTGGTACGCATTGTTCCCAGGTGCAGCTGCTTGTGTCATCCTCTGCCTTCTCGTAAGTGATTTGGTGAATTATATTTGTTTATAATTAAGGTTATATATTAACGTGGTTTTAAGTGGTACTAGTAGCTAATATGATTGAATTTTGTTCTCTTTGCAGCAATCCATCGTATGTTACTTGAAAGAAAACATAAAATTTTGATGAATCATCAAACGACGCGTTGACGTACGATGAAATGATATACATATAATACAGACATATTGGTGGAAATCTCTTGTGAAAATATCTGATTCATGTATACACTTGAACGTATGTAAATGACTATATATATAAAATACGTTCATTCAAAATATGTAGTTCTCTCCTTTTCTTTTCTTATCTTTTTAATCGTGGTTCCTCCGTTTGATTATTATCATTTTTCTTCTTCTTAAACTAAGATTGTGCGAATTAATTGACACTATTTTGCACCATAACAACGTAACATCTACAATATGAAGCGTATTTAAAAGTTTAGTTTATAAAAAGAAGTTTATCTCTTGTGTTTTCAAATCTTTACTGCTTAATTAGCACATGTTTGGACGGCTACCGTGGTGAGCTTGAGTTTCCTAATAAGGATATACGAAACCTAATTTGTTGGGGAATATATATATACTACGTACTATGTACTTGTTCATTTTTAGTTTCACCTTCTGGTTATTTCACTAAGTAATTAAATTACATTTTGCTCCAAATTAAACGAACCTCCAGGTACGATGGTCTGAAGCAAAACCGGGAAAAACAGGAATATTCCCGGTTTAGAGCGTTGTAGTAACGTCTAGATGATATAGAATTCAATATAAAAGGTTAAAAGAAGGTGGGGGCCTTTCGTAAATTGGATGATTGTAGAAGATGGTTATGGGTGATAGATGGTTACTATTATGTCATCGTACCTGACAAATTTTATCATCCACAGAAAGCGTTTTTATACATAGTGGAGTGTGGTTGTTGCAGTAGTGTTGGTGGCCCAAAACTGTTATACCCAATCTCATAGGGGAATCATTTATTCAAAGCATAAACGCTTGTCTCATGTATGTGCATGTGCACATATCAATATATAATGCATGAATAAACCGGTTGAACCGACTGCTGATTGAAGCTATTATTCCAGAAACATTGGAGCTATAACATACACTAATGCTCAACATGATTTGAAAACACTTTGCTTATAAATCATACGAAGTTACCAATGATGCGATGCGGTGCAAAAATTAGGTTAAAACTTGAGCGAGACAAAAAACACAAGAAAAATATCGTTGTCACAAGAGTTAAATGTTGTAGACAACTTGCGTATGAAATATTCATATCAATTGTTCTTTCAATATTTATGATAATAGAGCCAACTCTCTCTCTAATTTGCGTATGAACCAATAAGATTTGAGAGATGGATCGAGTCCTTCTCACCGGCTCTTTATACTACAATACGATCATTCACTATCAAACCGATAAAAGCATTATACCGGTTTTTAATATTTCTCCAATTAGTTAAAAAAACTTTTCAATTTTCAAAGAGATACGACGATATTCTCCACAAGATATTTGTATTATCACTTGTGAATTAGACCAAAGGTGGGACATATAAAGTGGTTAAGTAACCGAATCTATATCTAAACCAGAAATAACCGTCTTAATTTTGTGGACCGTACTTTGGTCTTACAACTAACGACGATAACATTTCTCTTACCACCCGCATTTTTTCCATACATAGTGCCACCAAACAGCAGCATATACAATAGAATAGTGGTTTATTTACGTGGACAACATTATATATTTTTAAGGATTATGAATTTCTGATTCAAAAACCAATTGGTAATAAAACAACTTGGTCGATATCTATCCTTATACTATATACTAGAATACTCTAACATAATCGATTGATTACGAAATTACGAGTGAAGTTGGTTGCGTCTTTTATTCGGTTTACGTTATAGAGAAATTTCATAAACCAAAAATAGCAAAGAACCGGCTAATTAAACTTCTAGTTTTATGCACAGCACGGTGCCTTGTTAATGAGGAAAGAAACAGAGGAGATACAAAACAAAAAAAAGGAGTCAACATCGAAGACAGTATCATTTCTTTGTTTTTGAAGTTGTACGTTTAGTCTCTAGAGTTTTCGCTTGTTTGTAATAACCACACACCAAAAATTTTCTCCTCTTGTCCACTCTCTTTATCTCTCTCTCTCTCTCTCCTCCCCCGTCTCTATAAATGTCCACACACTATTGCTATTAATCATATACTTCATTTTCATTCTCCAAACAGCTGTTTCTTGATGATCATGTCGTCTCAGGCGTTTGAACTAATGGTGAGTTTCAGTTCTCTCTCCAAATTTCCCAAATCCAACTAATTAAGAGTTGAGACACTAGTATAAGCTACAAGCGTTGCAATGATTATGATATATAATTTTACAAACATTTTGTGTGAAACTGTAAATATATATATGTAGGATGAAGCAAACAGGTTAAGCGTGTGGAATGGTTACCGGGACTGGAGAAATAGACCGGCATTGCGTGGCCGCCATGGCGGTATGAGTGCTGCCTCTTTCGTCTTAGGTGAGTCATTCTAAAACTCACCTTTGGACTCTTTCAGACTTTCAACTATACAAACGTGATTTTTATAGTATTAAATTACTCACCTTAACTTTGACATGATGTTCTATATTCCTTTTCATATAAATTATCTAAATGATATATAACACAAAACATTCGATGTTCGAATTAAATGGTCTACATATCTACTAACCATTTAGAAAAAAAAAATATAAAAACAATGTAACTAAGATATTTGATTTTAAGAAGAAAACCAGTTGTATATGTATAATTGCTTTCTTGAACATACTATTAATGAAAAAATGGAGTAATAATTGGCGTTGTATATGTACACACGCTTTTAGCTGTGGAAGTGTTGGAGAACCTTGCGTTCTTAGCAAACGCAAGCAATCTAGTGCTGTATTTGTCAACAAAGATGAGATTTTCGCCGTCTGGAGCCGCAAACGCCGTAACAGCTTTTATGGGAACAGCGTTTTTCTTAGCCCTTCTCGGAGGTTTTTTGGCGGATGCTTTCTTCACCACTTTCCATATTTATTTAGTCAGCGCCGCCATTGAATTCTTGGTAAGCATTTCATATCAAAGATAGCAAATCTTTATAAGCTATATGGTACTTACGGTCCAAGCCCACACTATTTTGTGCAACATACAGGGCTTAATGGTACTTACCGTCCAAGCCCACGAGCACTCTACCGAGCCATGGTCTCGTGTACTTCTGTTTGTGGGTCTTTATTTAGTAGCTCTGGGTGTCGGAGGAATAAAAGGCTCGTTGCCACCGCACGGAGCTGAACAGTTCGACGAAGAAACTCCGAGTGGGAGGAGACAAAGATCTTTCTTCTTCAACTACTTCATATTTAGCCTCTCATGCGGTGCCTTGATAGCCGTCACGGTCGTAGTCTGGCTCGAAGACAACAAAGGCTGGTCATATGGCTTCGGTGTCTCCACGGCCGCGATCTTGATTTCTGTTCCGGTTTTCTTGGCTGGTTCTCGCTTTTATCGCCTTAAGGTTCCTAGTGGAAGTCCAATCACGACTCTATTCAAAGTCTTAACCGCTGCTTTCTACACTAAGTGTAAGAGAAGAAGAAACTCAAGCAACGTTGTTACGTGTCATATAAGAAACAGTTGTGATGACAACGAAACCAAACGAAACAGTGATGGAGATGATGGAATTCTTGGATCGTTCCTTGGTGAAGCTGTGAGAGCACGCGAATCACTACCTGGACCACTATATTGCACGGAGGAACAAGTTAAAGACGTGACGATAGTCATTAAGATTTTACCTATTTTCATGTCTACCATTATGCTTAATTGTTGTCTAGCTCAACTCTCGACGTTTTCCGTCCAACAAGCTTCGACAATGAACACCAAGCTTGGGTCATTCACCGTCCCACCAGCTGCATTACCAGTCTTCCCGGTCGTCTTCACAATGATCTTAGCTCCGACTTACAACCACTTCCTTCTCCCTCTAGCTCGGAAAGCAACGAAAACTGAAACCGGCATAACCCATCTTCAACGCATCGGAACAGGGCTCGTCCTTTCGATTGTCGCAATGGTGGTTGCAGCCTTAGTAGAAACCAAACGCAAAAACGTCTTTGTTTCTTGCTGCACAAGTAACAACTCCTCTTCTTATTCTTCTTCGCCGCTTCCTATAACGTTTCTTTGGGTAGCTATACAATATGTGTTTCTTGGATCAGCCGATCTATTCACTCTAGCCGGTATGATGGAGTTTTTCTTCACCGAAGCTCCTTCTACAATGCGTTCCCTTGCGACCTCTCTTTCATGGGCGTCTCTTGCGATGGGATATTACTTGAGCTCTGTTATCGTCTCGGCTGTTAATTTCGTTACAGGATTAAACCAGCACAGTCCATGGCTTTTGGGGAAGAATCTGAACCAATACCATCTTGAGAGATTTTACTGGCTCATGTGTGTGCTTAGTGGGATTAACTTCTTGCATTATCTCTTTTGGGCTAGCCGTTACGTGTACCGGTCGAACCAAGGGTAGATCCAAAGCATATATATAGATGAATAATAAGTGCGTTGTAAGTAGGGTAATTTGTTGGTTATTAGAAGATGTGTAGGGCAAGGGTTATAAGTTTAAATTAGCATAAATACTATATGCTCTCCCACGATAATGTCATTAATATAAATTATAAGTTTATTAAATGTATGATTCCATGAAAATTAACGTTAGGTTCTTCTTCGGGAAAATTAGCATTATAGTACATTTTCAAAACTTAATTTGTGATATAGTACATTTACTATTCAAAATTGGATAAATAGACAATGGGTCCACTATGTGAGATAGAGAATGTGTGAGATAGATGAGAAAGTGGGGTATAGTGTAGTGGTGGTAAATTACAAAAGGGTAGATGTACAAAAGGCATTCGTACAATTCATTTGTACATATAATATGTGTACAGTTTGATCTGTACAATTGTATTTGTACATATATATCATATTGTACAAATACATGTATAATACAATATAATAGTCAATATACATACAATTTTATATATACATATATCATTGTATATAGTTTTTATACATACATTTTTCTTTACATATAATAAATATACAGTTTGATCTGTACAATTGTATTTGTACATATATCCTATTGTACAAATACGTGTACAATCGTTTACGACTTGTATACTAATATTTGTACACTTATTAAGTTGTACAGATGTACATATGTACACGTTTTAAGTTGTACGAATTAGATCTGTACACTTAGTAAATTGTACATATCTAAAATTAATGAAAATTATTTGTTATTATCAAATAAAATCTTCAAACAAAATGCATATCATATAATAGAGAAAAAAACATAGATTTTTATATATTTGAAACTTGTAAAAAAAAAAATTTCATTGACTAGTATTTTAGTTTTTAGATTGAAGGCAGAATGTAATTAAAAAGAAAAAAGAAAAAAAATAAATATTAATTAAAAATCTGAGAGGAAAAAAAAATATAATTTAATTATATATTAATGGTATTGTTGTAAATAAGATGTTTTGGTGAGTATTGAAAAGGCAAAAAAATAAAATAGCATAGTAAAAATATGGATTTTGCTAATTGTAAATAGTAATTGTACTATTTCTACAATTATGTTTCAAAAACTGTCTATTTCTCAAATTATTCCTTCTTCTAATCATGGCACTATAGTCACGCTTTTTTTTTTTTTTTAATTAATGCAATTTGCATGTACTAATTTTCTTCTTACGTTTGGATCGGGTCAAGAGCAAGAACGTGTGAAATAAATGTGATCAGTACCGTTGGAGACATATAAACCAAAGATAAATTCAAACCCATCGGACAGAGTCAAACCACTAATCACTAACACAAAGATATATAAGGGTTGAACATATAATATTCATATAACTTATGATCTACTCAGTCACTCTAATTAAGATGATGAACACTGGTGAAATAATCTTGCTAGCAGTTGTATATTTATATTGGTTGTCTGAGAAGTTTCTCTGTCTGGCAATTATTGGCGGGCTCAAAGCTGCAGAAGGCGGAGGTGACGGTGGCCACCGGGATGTGGAAATTGGTGACGGTGGAATTAGGAATATCTTTTGTTTAAGTATTTTAGATATGTTTATCTTAGTTATATTAATAATAAAATTTCGTATTTCTATCTTACAAGATATTTCAAATCTGTTAAGTGATGGCTATTTATCCATAGTTCCATACCATGATTTATTTTCTTAAACGTTTACCAATTAAGATCAATGAATATACATGATCATGTTAAACTAAGTAGATAATCATTAATTATACAAATTGATATGAAACTAACAACAGAATTTATATGATTCAATTGGTTAACCAAAAAGGTTTCTTCATATAAATTCATGGTATGGGCAATCTGGTTTACGGTTTAGTTTCGATTATGGTATTTGATTTCTCAGTTTTCTTAAACTTAAAACCATATTGAAGTACATTTTTATTTGGTTTTGATTCGGTTCGATGCAATTTATTACTGTGGTTCGTTTTAGTTTTCTTATTCTTAGTTTTCGTTTTATTATTATTATTTTTGATTTGAGGAAGAAGATTGTTGTAATGAAAGGATAACCGAGAGAAACTGAAAAGTCAATCAAACCAGCTCACCAAATCATCTTTTGGACTAATCCTCTTAATTTAGATCCAATGTTTATTTTTTATCACAGAAATAACATTAAAAAAAACAGTTATTTTTTTTCTTATCAACATAATGTTTTTTTCTTTTATTAACTAGTTATTTCGGAATATTTTAGATAAGAAAAATACAAATGCGAATAATTTACTCAAAGGACCATGGTCTTTTCCTGCAAAAAATAATAAAGAAAAGGTAATAAATCGAAAATTAGAGAGAATATTCCGATAATTTACCATATAAACGGAGTTTGCCCACTGAAATATCTAATCAGCATCAAGTAGAGAGAGCGCTCCACCAAAACGTGTTTTCCTTTTTATTTCTTTCCTCTGCTTCAAAATCTCAACAAAAAAAGAAGAAAACTTTTGGTAAACCCTACAATTCTCTGTGTTTCTTTCTGATCATCGTTGTGGCTTTTCTAGTTTTCTCGTTTCTACTTTCATGTTTTTGCAACCCTTTGTTTTTGGTTTATCGATAGTTCGTCTGAATTCTCGTCTGTAACGTGAAATCTGTGGAATTCTTATGTGTTTTAAAGCATATGTTTGCTAAGGAATTTAAAGATTGTGTACTTATATAGTTATATGTGTGTGTAATTGTGATCTGTGAGCGTATTTGTTTCCTGGGCTTTGCGAGATTAGATCCATAGGTTATAAAAAACTCGAAAGCGATCTTCTTCAGTAATTTGTCTATGTTATTTGGGTTTTGAGTACAATCAATGGCTAATTTCATGTGTATGTTATTAGCTGTTGAGCTAAGTGTTTTATCTTAAAGGTCTTAATCTTCAAAAAAGATTCAATTTTTTGTTCTTGGGTTGGTTTATAACTCTGTTTTGTTTGAATGAATTAGGTTTGTGAAGAAGATGGGAAATCTGTTTTGCTGTGTTCAAGTGGATCAGTCAACTGTAGCGATAAAAGAGACGTTTGGGAAATTCGAAGATGTTCTTGAACCTGGTTGCCATTTTCTTCCATGGTGTCTTGGTAGTCAAGTTGCTGGCTACCTCTCTTTGAGGCTTCAGCAGTTAGACGTGCGTTGCGAGACTAAGACTAAGGTTTTTGAATCATCTCTTTACACTCTCTTTATCAAAATTATGTTTTCTTTGATTTCTGTTTCTTTTGTAGTGTACTCCTAATCTTTGTTTCTACTTCTTTGGTTTGTGTTTTTCAGGACAATGTGTTTGTTAATGTTGTTGCATCAATTCAGTACCGTGCTTTGGCTAATAAGGCCAATGATGCCTTCTACAAACTCAGTAACACAAGGAGTCAGATTCAGGCCTATGTGTTTGATGGTAAGTCTCATTCTTAAGGAAAACCAAAACATGTTCTACTGAAAATTGAAAAAAGGCTGATCATTCTGGGTTTTTGTTTTCCAGTCATTAGGGCAAGTGTCCCCAAGTTGCTTCTTGATGATGTCTTTGAGCAGAAAAATGAAATTGCGAAAGCTGTTGAAGAGGAGCTTGAGAAGGTATTATAATCTTTGTTTTTTTCTTTTGTCTCTTTTGGCTGCTTTTGTGAAGTTATAAGTGTTCATTTTGTGTCTTTTTCACTTGTATAGGCAATGTCGGCTTATGGTTTTGAGATTGTCCAAACTCTCATTGTTGATATCGAGCCTGATGAACATGTCAAACGGGCCATGAATGAAATCAACGCTGGTAACTAACAAAACTTCCTACCATTTGTTCAAACTCTTGGGTTATTAATCTTTCTTGTAAATTGTGAAATCTGAGTTTCTGTTTCTTGTATTATAGCTGCGAGGATGAGATTGGCTGCAAATGAAAAGGCAGAGGCCGAGAAAATCCTGCAGATTAAGCGAGCTGAAGGTGAAGCTGAGGCAAAATACCTCTCAGGTCTTGGTATCGCCCGTCAGAGACAAGCAATTGTAGACGGATTACGAGATAGTGTGTTGGGATTCGCTGTGAATGTGCCCGGGACAACTGCTAAAGATGTGATGGACATGGTGCTTGTTACTCAGTACTTTGACACAATGAAGGAGATTGGTGCTCACTCCAAATCTTCTGCTGTGTTCATACCGCATGGACCAGGAGCTGTTCGTGATGTGGCTACTCAGATCAGAGACGGACTCCTTCAAGGCTCGTCCGCGAACCTGTCTTAGAAGTTGATGGACTGATTATTATGTTTACTTTTCTTCGACTAAGCTTATGGTGTGATTATTATTTTCTTTGATATTTTTTTCTTTTCTTTTGGAAGATATTGAATCTATCTTGTTTTGGGGTTTATAATTCATTGAGATTCAAAGCTAAATCTTAATTGTATGGTGATAAAATTAAACTTACGAACACTTTTCAGTTCACAAAATTTCATGCGAATTGTATCGGAAATAAGTAGAGATACTCTACCAGCAACAATTGAGTAGAATATTAACAACTATTCAACTATAAACCGAAACTAATAATTATTATCAGACTTTGTGGAGAAGTCAAAGACTTAGGCTAGCTCTCTTAGCTTAACTAGTTTTTAAGAATGTTCTTTTTAGTTTCACATTCAACAATGTAGAGTTGTTATATTACATAGGGTGAGTGAATTTTCGAAGGAAACTTCCTACACCTGCACGAAATTAGTGCCATTCTCTTTATAGGCAAACCAGACGATGACATTGTCATTAATTTTTGCATGGCCTTTTCATATTTTAGGATCAACCGATTCAATAATTCATCTCAAAGAGGTAAAGCCTTCACATGTAAACTTTATATGATATGATAATAATGGAGAGAGTAATAGCTATAACTTTTATGTAGGATGGTGATGTATGAACTAATTGGCACAGGTGATTCTTTCTTTCTATACTTAATTACAAACCACACTAGTTACTAGAAGAAGATAGTTCAGAACTTTTGGTTATTAGACATTGCATATTGTTCTTGTTTCCACTTTCATGGTGGAGCACTTTATTTACCATCTTTACCCTAAGTTCTCTCGAGTATTTTAACCCAATACCATGCTGCTGTTAACTTTATATGTAATATTTTGACGTCGTTTAGAATCTCATAGTTTACTTGTTACATCATTGTCAAAAGCTACTAATGTGTTATAACGTCAGTTCCAACATGGCAACATGTAGATATTAGGCTGATGAAAAGATTTATATTCAAATTAAACATAATAGTTTTTGTACAATTTACAACACAAATTTAACAAGCAAAGTCTGATTTGTATCATACAAAACAAACCAAAAAGATCCTATAGCTGAGAATAACATCCATCAGCATTTGTTATTGACATACATATTATTAGTTTAATTATATTTATGTGTTTGAAAACGGTTTAGTTAGTTGGTGGTGGTGCATCTACTGCAGCAGTACTAGGCTTAGCTTGTTCAGCATCATGAATAAGCTTAAGAATCTCATCTTTCTTTAGGACCATAGCTTGAATCTTGTCTTCAATCTTCTGAAGCTTCGTCTTCAACTTCTCAGGATCTTTCTTATCTTCAGGGTTCTTCTCTTTCTTCGTCTTCTTATCTTTCTTCTTGCTCTTCTTCTCTTGGTCTTCTCCTTCTTCTCCTCCGCCGTTTTTATCGTCCTCGTGCTTATCCTTCTTATCTTTATCCTTCTTCTCCTTCTTCTCTGTTTTCTCAACCTTGTTGTGTTCCTCTTCTTTATTATCACCATGATTCTTCACTTTCTCTTCTGTTTCTCCCATTATTCTTTATGAGATTTCGGGTTTGACGACTTGTTGTTATCTTAGAGAGAGTGCTTCAATCTAAAATGTACCTTACATATTTCTTGTGAAACTAAGAATTACCCTTTTATTTGAAAAGGATCTTCAGCTAATTTTGGACATAAGATGATCACATCCGTAAAAATTACTTTGTATGACGAGAATTGTGGAGTGTCGTATGTTTTGCCCCCCAAGTTTTTTCTATCTTTAGAATTTAGCTTTGTACAATGATCGGTCTTTTAAACTCATCCATAGACACAGAGCCCCCTAAGTAGTTGTTAATTGTTTATATACATGTAAAGAGGACGAAGGTTTATAAAAACTTATGCAGCGATCAGTGAAAGTCTATTTCTTTACATTGTCTGTTGATTTCTCTTCCACGGAGAGAGACTATTCAATAATCTTGGTGCATTGGTGTGGGTTTGGGTTGCACAGAACTACAGATCTACTTGGTACGAAAATATCTTAGAATTTGTGAAACTAATAATTCAATATCATAATTTATCGATGCATGCACAAATAGAAGATTCATTAGAATTTATGATCTGTCAAGAAACTAAAAGTTTATTTTCTCAAAATAATACAAATATTGTACACGTACACGAATCATAATCCCAATTATAACACAGAACAATGGATTATTTTCTTTTCCCAAGTTTTCTCAATTTTACTGGTCAATCGATATGAATGAAAAGTGGGAACTGATAATTTTCGTGGATCAGGCAAAATATAAATTTCGATTTTGCCAGAGAAAATCATACACTTGTTAATCGTCCTTTGTAAGGTTTCGTACATGTCTCTTGTCAAAAACAGCTTTGAACGACTCACGCTCTGCTCTAAGCTGATCCTGGAAAATTCCTCTTACCTTTGCTTTTCCAATTGCATCAGCTAGTGCAAGACTCTCTTCTTCCAAAAGAGGATTTGATTTCAAGTTGTATCCTGATCCGGGACCTATAACTAAAGATGGCATGGTCATATTCCTTGCAGCACCAATCGAAAACCCTGCGTCTCCACCCTATCCATTGAAAACATGAATGTTCAGTTATTTCCCAGAAGATAAAAATATATTTTCAAAGCTTAACAGAACTACTAGAGACGGCATGTTTAATACCTTATCTCCCCACCAAACAGATTTTCCTTTCCGCTGACGTTCTTGTCTTGACTTGGAAAGAGATTTTGAGCTTCTTCTCTCACTCTCAGGGTTCTCTGGTTCATCTTCTTCAACATTTGACCATTTACTTCTGCTTAGTTCTTTTACTTCTTCTGTACGGGAGCCCGATTCTGCTTCCCATTTACTCTCATTTTTGTAAGAGCCTGAGATGATATCAACAGAAAGAAAGACTCAGCTAACTGTTTTCAGTTTGTCCTAGTGAAAACAAGAAGACTGTATAAAGAAAGAATTCAAATTTACCCTCTGTCGCCCCATTTTCCTCTGACTGGGTACTGTTATCGGATTTTCTTTCTGGCAGTTCGAAATCATCTTCCATGTCCATATCCACCTAGCGAAATTATATGAGAAATTACGAGCTTGGATCATATAATGAGACCACAATCAAAACAATGGTGAAAACAAGGAACTTATGATGGACAGAGTGGTATATAAGAACTTATTTCTATTACCTCTTGGATTCTATTCTCTTTCATGTCATCCCACTGTGTAAAAGACTGTCATGGGAAAAGAAGATAAAAAGATATTGTAAGAAAATGCAAGCTCATCTTATGATCAGTTTCCTTCAGGTCAACGCAAAATCATACATAAAGGCATTATTTGGTATCTTCTTCCCACTAATCAAAAGTGAGATCAATGTTGGAACAAAAGAACAGTATACGAACCTTGATATCCAGTTGCATGTACAATGCTGGAGCTTCTTCCCATTGATGTGCCATCTGCTGTACTTGATCTAGTGTGATGCCATGCACGTTTCTTGCTGCACAGCCCTGTAATCTCACACACACTTAGAACATCATGAAATGTGAACAACATTCAAATATGATAATGATATATTGTGCTCCTAGTTATATAGGTTAATAAACGAGAACTAGCTACAGTCGAAATATAAAATCTTGAAAAGTAAACAGTTTTTCAAGAACTCACAGTTGGGTCCTTGTATGTTGCCTCCAATATGTAAGCTTCATATCCAGATCTCTGCAAAAGATACAGAAAGTCAAGGAAACTTTCACGTATTTAATACTAGACAACGGCCATGTTTTAGTTGAACTGGTTACAAATGTTACAAGAAGTAACATTTCAAGATTCCACAATTACAACAAGCATCCATTCATACACAGAAAAGATAATCTCAGCATTTACATTTCGGAATTGGTCACTGTGCAGATTCAAAATCGAGGCAAAAAAAGAATGAATCAAACTGAAATTCAGCAAAAGAGGAAAAGATGAGAATTTCCCCATTTAAGCTGTTTATATAAATCATATTAGTTTTAAGCTGGTCAAGAAGCCATCTAAAATTCCTCAACTTTCATTTTCACGGAATCATAGACAAACAAGAAAACAAATGAGCATGGTGGTAAACAACAAAAATGGGGATGAGTAGTGCATACATTGGCCAAAGAAGACAGTACCACTACTCGTTTATAATTAAATATGAAAGGACATATTCCAGAGTATATTGGTCACTGAATTCATAGTTACAGAACTTAAAAAGAATGGCAACCTCGCATTATGTTTAGCAAACAATGTGAAGCAAGCAGAAGTATCAATAACAACTCCAACTTGCAGGTGAAATAACGTGACTAATGACTCACCCTATAAAAGAGGGATTAGCAATATAAAGGAGAAAGGACTTAAAGACCTTGTAAGTTGCACCACGCCAATGTTCTCTTTTATGATAGATCCACAAGTTTTAAAGGAGGGGGAGAGAGAAAGAGAATAGACATATCTATGAAAGACCTCTTCACCTCTTGGTTCAGCTAAAACGGAAGTAAGGCAATAACTAATATACAGGAGTAACGTTGGGAAAAGGAAAACAGTTTTCAAAAAGTTATTTGAAGAAGATGAGGAAAAGAAGACTCGTAGTCTCAAATCTAGGGAAATGCAAGGTAACTATTAAATTAGTAGGAAGCACTATGCTAATTGTTGAGAAGGTGGAGATAACAAACTAAAACATTGTCAGAACTGTCAACTTACTAGAATAGATTATGTATTTAAAAAAATGTTAAGACTTCACTAACTGATTGCAGATACAATCGTCTAACACTTGAAAGACCAAGTATAACTAAGCACTAAAGAAGCTAGTTGACTTCACAAATCATTATGAGTCTTCTATAGAACACGCAAACAACATCCAATCTCCACAAGGTAATATAGCAAGAAGTGAGAATATACCTTTGCTGTTGCCCAAAACTGAGCAAAATCAGCTACCCGCAGATTGCGGTCATCCACTAAGATGAGCGACATATACCAGCAAGAAACGGTCAATTCCAGAAAACAAACTGCATCCGTGGTTAGAGAAAATGAAAGTAGCGCTAGGACGTTGCACCACCTATCACCTAAACTAGATGAATAGAATCTCTAACAAAAGATCTAGCATGTTGTAATATATACTACGCCCTACACCTTCAGCATGCCAGAGGGCTGCTGGGAGAATATTAAGTTCTTTAAACTAAGGAACTAAAGAAACCATATAAGGTGAATGTTTTCTCAAAAAAAAAAAACAAAGTAGGCATCATGTCAACATCAACAGACCAAGAGAGATAAAGTCATCAGATCACAGATACCAATTACCTCTTGCACAGAAAGAAACATTAAAATGATTTATGTCATACAATAGTAGTATGCAGTTATGTGGAAAATCATTACCGATTACAAAGCTGAAGGTCCCATCTTCAAGGGTCCTTTTAAAGGCCTTAAGCATGCTTGAACGATAAGCCTGGAAATTTGAGAGTGCCAGAAAACTTAACAAACCAAAAATATCGTGGTGGTTTATAGTCATGTTTCATTTATCTCAAAATATAAGTTCTCAAAAGATACCTCTTCCATCTCAGGTTCGTAGCAGTATTCCATGACCATCTTCACGTTAGATCTTTTGCTTCTACCAGAGCTTGAAGAAGTTAAATCACTCTCCTCCACCTTTTACATTGACAAAGCAAAGACAATTTTAGAGTCCTTTCAAGGTCCCGAGTAAAGAGAACTTCTTTTTAAGAACATCTTTAAAATTACGAGGATTAATCAACCTTCTCAACTTCGGTCATGAAATAGTCATCCATAGAATGGATTCGTGGAGCACTACCTCCATTTTCGACCTCGATGTCACGCAACAACTTGGCTAAGTAACTCTTCCCACTACCTGATTAGTGATTACAAGAGTCAAAATGAAAAGAGGAAACCAAGGAGCAAGAGCCTAAGCTAGAACTGTAACCATGCAAAGAGTCCACGCAAAGAGACGGCTCAGAAAAAAACCTGGTAGCCCTCGAAGGATAATTACAAAGTGATCTGGACGAGTAGATCGATGAGGAGGCTTCAGCAAATGTGACACATCCATCACTTTAGAGCGAGTTGGTGCTAATTGTGCAGAAGATGGCTACCAAGACAGTTAAAAATCATCAGTACAGAACAACAAAGATATTTCAGGGTAACAAAGAAACCAGGAAAAAAACAATACCGAAGCATTTGGCATTTGAGGATATGTAGATGATGGAGGGACCGCTGCAGACGAATTAGTAGTAACATGGAACAGTGAAGAAGGCTCAGACGGAGGATGAGACGAGGGCAAAGGCGGTGGTGGAGAAACCGGAAGAGGAGGCTGACCATTAGGACCACCGAAATAGCCTCCGTACGGAGGAGGATGATAAGGCGGAGGAGGAGTCACACCATTGAAGTGACCTCCATTCCTATATTCACTCCTCCCATATTGATGATTCATCTCAATATTCGAAACATCTAGATTTCCCGGAGACGGCGCAGTTAAACCGTAACCATGATCACGAACCATCTTCAATCTCCGCTCATTCTCCCATGAGATTCGAGGACTCTCGGAAACACCGTAACCAGGAGAACCACCGCCGATCGCATCAATCCGAGCTCGCTTAAAGCTTCTATCAGCTTCAATATCACCATCAAGGGAAACAGGTCGCCATTGATTTCCGTGGTGAGGTTGCCACGGCGGATAGTGATTCTGGGGTCGAACCGGAGGTCCGGTGAACGAATCGAATCGAGGACGAGGCGAATTGAGGTGAGGAGGAAAGTTAGGATTGGGCGAGAAGGAAGATGGAGGAGGATACGGTGGGCAGAAAGGGAAGTGCGGCGCTGTACAAATCGGGCATATGTTTGGCTGTGTTGGTGCTGGACGCCATTGTTGATGATGGTGGTGATGATAGTTGTCGAAATTGTTGTCCATTGTCGATGATTCAGGAGCTTGGAGATATTGAAAGAGTGTTCAGAGGAACCCTAAAATCTAGATTAGGGTTTTGTGTGGTGAAGTTGACGAAGAACGAGAGAAAAAAACTAGTAATGCGTCTGAGAGAAGCTGAACTTCTTCGAATGGTGCTTCAGTTTGATCTGAATTCTGAGTAAATGTATTTCAAGTTGAATAATATAATTTACCACCATGAAGACATGCCCCTAGTTCTGGTGGAGGCCCATTTACACTAAGTTCCAATAATGTGAACTCAAGGCCCAACTAAAAGCTGATCGAGTTACGTTTATGTATAAATATAAATTGGTATTATAATTTTTGAAACTACCAGATAACTTACGATTGGTTTAACATATTATTAAGGTCCGATTTATCATAATTATTGTGGTCACTAAATACAGAAAAGGAAAAATCGTGCTCACTAAAGCACTGTAATAGTGTTTCGCATTCACATCTAAATCAAATGAACTTTCTTTAATAATCGATAATATTCTACTATAAATGTTGACAAAGAAGATACTTTACATTTCCATAAGGTTTCATTTACATGGATAACAAAACATATGTTGTGTGTTAAAACAACATTCGAAATTATGACACAGCAATAATAGAACATTGAATCAAGTAACCAGCCGCTAATACTAAAGACTTGTGCTTTAATCGTAACAGCAATCCCCTAACATACGTCATTATTTGTGACATCATTTAACATTTGAATATTCAATAGGTATAAACTAAATAAGACGAGAGTTTATCATCCTCCCGCGTGATGGTGATTGTCTGATTAAACGTGACATCTAAGAAGATAAGTATAAGTTTTTTAATTTTATTTCCTTTGTTATGTACTTTGATAAATAAAATACACCGTAGATATATCCTTGACCGGTACTAGATTTTTTTAAAGTGAAAGACTTATCTTACTTTATTTTTGTTTGTCAACCAGGTTCATACTATCTCCGTTCGTCGTCGTTTATTTTCTTGGCCGATTGCCAATTTTTTTTTTCTTTTAAAGTCTTTTTTTTTTAAAGTTCATTACGCTCCTTGTTAGATGTTTATAGATGACGAATGATTAAAATAAAATAAGATAGATTTTGGCTCCTGATTAAATTAACGAATAATCGGTTCCTAATGTAATCATTTCAATTTTGTTTCTTCTTCGTTAATTTCCATATATATAAATATTCCACGGGGACCCAAAACTTTATTTTGTTTTCTCACCGTGTACCATCTCTCTCTCTCTTTGTCTTCTCTCTCTCTCTCTCTCTTGTCTTCTGTCTCAAAACGTTTTTGAGTACAAACTGTGAAAACAAACAAATGCAGACGAGTCGGTTACTCTCCTTTTCCTCTAACTCCCCGAGTTCCGGCAGCTTCTCCTCCGCCGTTGACCTCTCCGCCATCGCCGCCCGAGTCGTCGAAGAATTCAGAGATCAAGAAGAGCAGACACCACTATCTGATTCTCCCCGACTCAACGTCAACGACGATGATGATGAACCAGAATTCGCCTTCGATTGTCCAAGCCAAGTGTGTTCTCAACCCCTCGCTACCGCCGACGAGATTTTCTGCAACGGTCAGATCCGTCCTCTGACCCCGTACGGTTGCGTAGCCGGAAATGCTCCCGTGGAATCTCAGCCGACGATGCCGCGTCGTCGTAGACCTGCGCTGAGAAAACTGATGAGTGAAGAACGAGATCCGGCGGCTTCGAATTCTTCGTCGGAAGGTGAAGAGGATCTAAACGGTGTTCCGCCGGAGACGTACTGTGTATGGACGCCGAAACAACCGAGTTCCGGAGAGGAAGATCTTCGAGGACTCTCGTCGTCTCCGTCACAAAGCAAAATCAAAAGCAATTCAGCTGGCTTCTCGAAACGTTGGAAGCTGAGGAATCTTCTGTACGTTAGAAGCAGAAGCGAAGGAAACGAGAAGCTCGTGTTTCCGGCGCCGGTTAAGAAGAGCGACGGTGAGGATAACTCATCCGATCATAAAGAAGAAGAAGAAGCGTCGTCAAAGGTGGTGGACGGAGAAGAAGGAAGAGAAACGGAGGAGACGAAACGACAGACGTATGTGTCGTATAGAAAGGACATGGTTGGAATATTAAGAAATGTGAATGGGCTAAGTCGTCATTTACGTCCTTTTTGATGGTGACGTGGCTCTCCTAGACGCGGACTTTGGGTGGGCTTCGGTTTCTTTCTTTCTTTCTTTTTCTCTTCTTTTTTACCTTTTCTTTTGATTTTCTCTCTCAACCTTTTTCTTTTATAAGTTTCCGGGAAAATCTTGAGTGTTGGGCGAGAAAGTAAATAATTTTGTATTTACGAAAAATGGTGTCGGTTTGGGATTAGATTATAAAGTTTTTGGTGGGTTGATTTTATTTTATTGGAATGGAGGAGAATAATGGGGGTTTTTCTATTGAAATAAAACTTGTTCAATTTTTTAGCATTCGCCATCGTCGTTATGTTGAAACTGTATTTTCACTTAAACATGGTTTAGCAGAATTCATACCGTATAATTTTTAAAAAATTGAGTTCCTTTAATTTGTGTGTGTGTGTGATAATTATTCAAAAATTTGGATAAGTGTTGTATTGTTTCTTTATTTTAAACACCAAGAAAGTGCTGTGGTCCATTTACGTGTTATACATTAACGTGTCGTAATACCTTTATTAAAAAATACATATACATAGAGAGAGAAGGATTTGTTAAATTGGATTTATAAGTTTTAGGTGGATATTGTAGGAATGTTTTTGGTTTGGTTTGGTTTGCCTTGAGATCTTCTTGTTCAATATTTTCTATAAAGAGATTATATGTGTTCACACACTATCTTGATTGAGTCCATCCCAAGTTCCCAACTACAACATAGAAAATTGTGTATTCAGAATTAGATCGGTTGTTAATATAATAATACTCGTTGATTCATTCATCTTTGGTGTCTTGTCTATTTTCTTAAAAATATGTTTAGTACGTTGTATATTAGAATTGGTGTGACTAGTAATTTTATCAAATGATTCCTCTTTCTAGTGTGATTAATCAGTGAAATGACAAAATGCAATAGGGACCAGAGTAAAACGTACGGTACCACTGCTCCTATCAATGTTAAGTCATAAAAGATCAGAACCAATAGATTTTTATTATCCGATCGTATTACACAGTTATATGTCTCATACTAAAACATTACAAAAATAAAACACGTCTTACCAGCCAAACCAGTACAAACGTTAGGTATTTTCAGTATTAACAACCCTTAATTTGCTTTAATATATAATCTAAGTACAACAATCTAAGGTATTTGTATAACCTACAAGTTGTACATGTGTCTTCAAGATAACCGTCGTAGATAAACTGATAACACTAGATAATAATAATAAGGTTAAATTATGTAAAAGAATGACTTGCAAGTTACGATTTATGATAACTTAGAAATTTCTTTTTATCATAAACCGACCAATTGTAATCCTAGTAAATTTTTATATTAAAACACCATCATTACAAAATAATGAGTCGACCAAAATCAACATTGTTGTTGTTGTTGTTGTTCGAAATCGCTTTTGCTAAACAATTATTAAACCTAATGTGAAGATGTTTCATATATATATATATATGACTTGCAAGTTAAAATTGTTCCTAATGATTTTAGCGGTGGGAGTAGGTTGATTAAAAAGATTGCAGTCCTGTCTTTATTCCTACTCTTAATATAAAATATGAACAATAACTAAATTTTCTTTAATCCAATGTTTATTTCATGTATTTGGCAATATAGTTCATATACGCATATTATGAGAGAATAGTTATGTTTATAAACACGTTGAAATATTTTAATCAATCAATAATTCAAAACAATTTGTAGATTGATCATAAAATAAATTGAAACCACATTAAATAAATAAAAAGGAAAAATATATTAATAAGGGATCTAAACGTAAAAAGAGAATGAGAAAGAAACAAAAGGAAATCACCATTATTCAGTGCTCTCAACATCTTGAGTGTTTTCTCGCGTCGTCTCTAAGTTTTTGCAAAGTTTAAAGAAACTCTCTTCTCGAGTCCCAACGATGGAATGTAACTAGTAAGAAGCTAGAAGAGCAATGGACATTACAGAGATGAACTTTCTGAGAACGATTACATTATGTGGCGAAGATATTTCATTAACATAGGTATGGCTCAGAATCTGTATCCAACGGTTCACGGTTTGAAACAAGTTTTGATGAGATCTATCTTTATATCTCTACGTCCAACAGAGGAGGACAACCTGATTGGTATGGGATGTTTCATCCTTGGTTTAGATTCTTTAGTGGATGACGAAACAACTAAAGAAACATTCTCGTTTGCTTCACCCCGCCAAGAACAGGTTTACTCATGAAGCAGAGAGGCTTTTCAAGATTCCGATGAGGAGGACAACAGGAGATGCAAACTCTACTGATGAAGCTCAGAAGCTTTTCAAGAACCCTAGTTAGGCATTTGCTTTTTCCATTCTTGGATTTTTACTTTGACGCAAGGCTTTGGTAAAAATGGTTTCAAATTATCGGTTTGGCTTGTTCGGATTACAGATACATTAGTTACACAATCGATAATCCTGCCAAAACGTTATTAAATACTAACCCATTCTCTACACTAATCTTGTTCTCACATTTTCTCAAATCACTTCACTAATGTTCTTCCAACAACCAATTCGTCAGGCATGAACTGGCCTAGCACCAGAAGAAAGCTGCACATTCGCCGCATATTCACGCGCCCACAAGTCGTAGTGAACAATCTCTTCCAGAGACGGTGATGTTACCAACTCGTTACGATGTTTATCACAAGTTAATTCCACAACCTTGAAGATATCTAAATAGCTTATCCTGTAAACAAAAGCGAGAATATAAACAATCGTGATTCGTTTCACAAACTTCATTGAGATGCCCAAAGAGAAAACAAATTCTTACTTTTCATCGATGAACATTTCAACGGCTTTCTCATTGGCAGCGCTGAGAACTCCAGTCATTGTGCCTCCAGCTCGTCCAGCAGCATAAGCAAGATCCATGGATGGGTATTTCACATTGTCTGGTTTCTTGAAAGTCAACGAACCGAGTCTGCCAAAATCCACAATCTTAATCAACTTTTGGTTTTAGGTGCTTAATGCTGATAGATAGGGGTTCTTAAACCAGTTTAACTAATCCAAACCAAAATAGTAGCAAAATAACCAAAAGACTGATTGGTGAATGGTGATTTAAAATCTTAAACTTAGCTTCGCTTCACACTTGATAAACAGAGAGTATATAAATGGGATTTGCTTACTTGCAAAGGTCAAGTCTTGGCCAAGTTACTTCAGAACAAGGAACTCTATCAGGCCATGACATGGTGTAGAGAATTGGTAAACGCATATCAGGCCAACCCAATTGAGCAAGCACAGATGAATCCTGTGGAATAAAACAAATACATGTTAATACATAACTGTTTTGAAACCGGAAGACAAAAAATTCAGTTATTTATTTTTCAGCAAGACCTGTGTTTCAATCATGGAGTGTATGATACTTTGAGGATGGATGACAATCTCTATATCATCATACTCAGCTCCAAACAAATAATGTGCTTCGATAACCTCAAGACCCTGTTTCAAGAAATTAAGGACTCGTCTACTTTGATCTAAGGTACTTTTAAAATCAGAGTTTAAGTTGAGGAGAAAATGATCTTTACCTTGTTGAAAAGCGTAGCAGAGTCCACAGTGATTTTCTTTCCCATGTTCCAGTTTGGATGCTTCAAGGCATCCGCTACTTTAACTTCCTTCAGCTTTTCGACAGGCCAATCCCTATTTCAAAAATCAGCAAACAGTTCCATTAACCAAATGAGAATTGAGAAAAAAGTCTATGCAGAGAGAAGCTTATCGGAACAAACCTAAAAGCTCCACCAGATGCAGTCAAGATTATCTTGCGCAGAGCGCCTTCAGGCAAACCTTGAATACACTAGAGAACGTACAGAAGAATTTTCATTCAAATTGCCAGAGGTAGAAATTACATCAAGACCACTTAACTCAATATGAAATTTGAAGTACTTCAATTCTATGTGAATTATAATACCTGAAATATGGCAGAATGTTCTGAATCTGCTGGAAGAATCTTAACATTATGTTTGTTGGCAAGCGGAAGCACGAAAGGACCACCTGCGATTAATGTCTCTTTGTTTGCAAGAGCAATGTCCTTTCCTGCTTCAATTGCAGCAACCGTAGGCTGCAGAAAAACAAACAACAAGTTTTATCATTTTTACTTCCTTTTTCATATCCTCTCAATACAGTTTTAGTAGAAACTAGAGTATATACCTTTAGTCCTGCACAACCAACTATTCCGGTAACAACAGTTACAGCTTCAGGGTGTCGGGCAACCTGTTGGTGAACATAAGTAAAAACCCGAGATGAGGATAGAAAGTTTGTGAAAATTAACACTACAATAAAAACTAACAAATTCACTAACCTCAATCACTCCTTGCTCCCCAGGAATAATCTCGGGTTTATAGTCCAAATCCGCTAAAGCCTCTTTCAGCTCATTGATCAATGACTCGTTTCTAACAGCAACCAGCGCAGGCTTAAATCTCCTTACCTGCCACCATTCAAAAGAGTTACAGAACCATAGTATGGAGAATTCTTGTGTTCGCAGAACCAAAAACCTAAGCCCAAACCTGATGTCTCTGGTTTGATCTGATACATAACTAGTTTATAATATCTTGCTTATGATACTACCACTGAATTGAGAATTGAATTGAATGCTAAGTGGTCTGAATGAAAAATTGGAGAGACGAAATACTATAAATTTACACATGAAGCCAACTTACCTGGTCAGCAAGTAGAGTAACATTCGAACCAGCAGCTAGAGCCACAACTCTAAATTTGTCAGGATTATCAGCCACAATATCCAACGTCTGCAAAATGGAAGTTCTTATAGATAAAAATGATGCAACAATAACTCAGTAACATGCAGATTGTACACACAAAAAAAACAAGTCATTCTTCTTCGTGCATAGTCATCACAACACAATTGATAGTCTGGTCCTACTCAAGAACTGCACAACAATGCCTTAATCTAACTACATGGAACTAAACGTATCTGAGTGCAGATATAAAACCTGAGTGCCAATGGAACCAGTAGATCCAACGATGGAGATGGGTTTTGGTCCATCCCAAGATTGACGAGGCGCCTCAGGAAAAGCTCTGCCAGGCCATGCTGGAGGAGGAGAAGATTGCTGCTGCACTTTCACTGAACACTTGACTCCTTTTCCAAAGTCTCTCCCTTGATTTCTCCTCCTCGAACTAAACCCACCTGCGAAACACTCCAAAGATGTAAAATTTTAAACTCTCCAAGCTAAAACAACCCACAATTGAAGAAATTTACAAAGAGCTGGGTGTTCTAGTCAACTGGAGACGGATCATTCACAGTATGAAGGTACCCAGATGGAGAAGTTCACACGAGCCTAAGTAAAACTAATGAAAGTTTGAAACTTTTAATTGAAAAGAGAATCAACCAAGGACGAGAGAAAGAAGAAGAAACCTGGGATTTTAGGGATTAGACTGAACCTGGAGGTATCCAAGAAAGAAATAGCAACGGATTCAGCTGGAGACAATGAGTTAAGAGTCATCATCATCAGTCTATTAAAAATCGAATATTTCCCAGAGAACCCACTACTCCGATTATGAGAGAAAGAAGAAGAATCAGACAAACAGTGAGGGAGATGATAAGAAGAGAATATGGATTGGTAGGATCGCAATTTGAATGGTACCAACAGAGTTTGACGATATTTTATTTTTTAAGATTTCGTCGTTTGAGTATATTCGGACTTTTTAGTAAGAGCGACCATTAGTAAGAAAGGTAACGACAGTTTGTAGATGGTAATATATCCGGTCTTGCTAATGTTCCCATTTTTTTAATTATTTCTTGATAATATTAATATTAATCACTGTTATAAAAGTAGTATCTAATTCATTAATTCGTCAAGAGAAAGTATAATTAATACGCATTATAGGTGGATTAAGGGTTAGGAATTTTTCTCTTTATAAAAGAAAAAAATGTGTGGCATTATTATCTAAACCAACCATTTAAAGTGTGGTAATTGGTAAAATGTCTATATTGACAACAGTTTCTGGATTTTAATATGGATGTATATGTATGTATTTTGATATGGGTATATTCATATATATATTATACAAAATATATATTACATGCTGAAAATCACAAGTCAAGTTTGTGTTTAACGTGATTCTTGACATGTATATATCAATACGTTATTTTCAAAAAAAAAAAAATTATAAAACAAAAAAGTTATATGCATGTCAAGATCTAAACTAAATTTGACACGTAGATTGTGATTTTCTTACAGCATGTAACATGTTAGTCAACCATACATATCTACTAAAAGACGTGTCAAGATCTAAACTAAATATTACAGATTCGAATGGTAAGTGGTACTCAAGATGCATGGACAAATTCATAAATAGTTTAGTCTATAAAAAGTTTAGAGCAAATAATAAACTGCCGTGTACCAATTCTATTTGTATATAAAAAGTGTTTAAAATTGGTTTACAGCAGTTTTTTCTATTTTTTTAGATTCTATTATTACATATTAATTTGATGAATGGACGGTTTAATAGATTTATCTAATTTAACTACTGTAATATAGTACTTTGTTTCGTTACGAACAATAATGGTATGGTATATAAGCATTTTATCAACATAAACAGAAAAGGGGAAAATAATAGTATAAGCAATGTATTTCAACTTTTTTCACGATCATTTTAAATTCTTTGATAGTTCTTCATATGTGTTTCAATTTGTTAATTTAATATTCATAGCCATGTAGTTTTACTCAACTGAATATACGTACAGAATTTTATTTTTATATATATGGTTATTGCCATGCATGTATGTTAGATTCTTATAATAAAAATTATATTGCTGTAGACTACAATTAAGATCACCCTTCAATAAGATTATCTTTTGCATTATTTGTTTGAATGATGCTCTGTTTCTTTATATTCGAAGAAAGATAATTTATTTTATTTAAGTTGGGTAGGCGCTTGTCATGATGAGTCTCACAAAATCACATTACAGTAGTGTTTCGTGGATTCATAGATAAAGGGTAGATGAGTCAGTAATCACTAATGCTAATGGTCATCCTGAAGACCAAGTGATGACTACCACATGGCAAAACCATGCAAGAAACGTTACATTTGTGTACGCGTGTGCCGTGTGGTTAATTTGTTTCATCTCATCAAACTCTTCGAATTCCATCCCAAGTCATGATGTAAATATATACTATGCATGCGTTTTTTTATTTAAACTCTTCGGAAATCGGAGTTTGAATTAATGCGGTAACTAATGGAAAAACACATAACTAGGGTTTAGCCATCTCCTCTATTTATATGTAAGACCTAAATCTGATTTATCAAAGATATAAATAATGGAGGTTAACAACGTTCACTCGCAAAAGAGGCAGCATACAGAGAATGAGACACGATTGGCGAAGTTGTCGGATCTTGATGTTCTTGATTGTCCGGTTTGTTTCGAGCCTCTCACTGTTCCTACCTTCCAGGTTATGTTTTGAATCGTGCATTTGCTTTAGTTTTATGTGGTGTACTTGATTTCCTTAATTTGTTTGGTTTCTTCAATTTATTGAGTAATGTTTTAAATTAACCCATTTGATCTTTTAATTTTGTATTTCAGTGTGATGATGGACATCTAATTTGCAGTTTTTGCTTAGCCAAAGTGGGTAACAAGTGCCCTGGTCCTGGTTGTGATTTGTCCATTGGTAACAAGCGATGTTTCCCAATGGAGAAGGTTCTTGAAGCAGTCTTTGTTCCATGTCGAAATGCTGAGTTTGGTTGCACAAACAGTTTCTCTTATGGGAAAGTGTCAAGTCATGAAAAGGAATGTAAATACTCCCACTGCTCTTGCCCTAACCTCGAATGCAGTTACAATGGCCCATACAACAGCATCTACAGTCACTTTATGTGTAACCATCTTTACGAAAGCATGACTTGTTCCTTTCGTTCCTCTGCTCTTGTTCGGATAAACGTCAACGAAAAGGTTTTAGTTCTTTACGAGAACATGGAGAAACTATTGTTCGTGGTTCAGTGTTTCAAGGAGAGACTTGGTGTTTATCTTACTCTTAGAAGTATTGCACCATCAACTCCAAAATTAGAGAAGTACTCGTTCTGGCTTTCTTCTAGTGTTGACAGACACACACTTACTTACAAATCACCAGAAATGAAGAGGTTTCTTGAAGTGAGTTCTCAGATCCCTGAAGAGAGTTACATGTTTTTCCCTAACAGTTTATTGTGTGGTGAAATGTTGGAGATGAGTCTTTCCATCGTGATTTCGGACCAAGAGTGGCTCTAGTTATTGTTTAATATGCCGTTAAGAGACGTTCAATTTCTAGGTTGTTTCTTTAATATATTGATGCTGTTGTTTCGAGGTATTTCAGTTTCAGTATCTCTCCGGCAGATGTATAAGTTTTGGTGACCGGGTCGGTTCGTAATCGTACCTTTGTATTGAAGAACCTTTATACAGTTTCAGATAACGGGCTTATTTATTTGAATAGAAATGGGCCCTTGAGGCCCAATATAATAGAGCAAAAATATGAAAATAATGCGATACGCCGTATTATCTCCTCGTCGTGTGACCACCACACAGAGACACAGACACTCACCAAAACCAGAAAAGGAAAAAAAAAAAAGATTAGACCAAAGGCAGAGATGATGAGTTTGCAATTTCCAACTTGATAAAAAAAAAAAAAAAACTCTCTGCGCCTCGATTTGAGCAAAACCTGGTTTACTCCCATCCTCATCGCTCTCTCGTCATCATCTTCTCTCAAACGATTTTTTTCTCAGTTGGGATCTGTCTTTAGTCTCTTTAGCCGCTTGTATTCTTCCAAGGTTGGTGAGCTGCTATGGCAACTCATCAGCAAACGCAAGCTCCTTCTGATTTTCCCGCTCCGGCCGATGATAAATCCCAGATTTCAGGTTCAATTTTATCATTCTTTCTTACCTCTTTTGGTGGATTCTATTGGTTCCATGAACAACTTCTCAGTATTTTGCACCTACGGATTTTTATTGAAAATATTGGTGATGAGTGTTCATTTCCACCAAAACCATAGTTTAAACCTAGGAATTAAGATTGGTCCTTGTGATCTATATTTTGATTTTTGTTAGCTCGAAGTTGATAGAATAATTGGAAACATTATCATTTTGATTTACTAAACTTGTTGTTGATAAATGTCTTGTTACAGAGGCTACAAAGCCTGCTAATGAGGTTCAGCAAGCTACCATAGCTCCGGAAGCTTTTAAGCCGGATCCTCCAACATCTGTGTTTAAGAATTCAGAACCTATACGGGAGGATCAAATTCAGAACGCTATCAAATTCCTTTCGCACCCGCGGGTTAGGGGCTCTCCTGTTATACATAGAAGATCTTTTCTTGAGAGGAAAGGTCTCACTAAAGAAGAGATTGACGAAGCATTCCGCCGTGTTCCTGTAAAGCTTCCTCCTTGCTTCTTTGTTTGAGACTCTTTTTATCTTTCAATGGCTTACATCTGTCAAAAATCTTTGTCACAGGATCCACCACCAAGCTCGCAAACAACTGTTACAAGTCAAGGTAACTAAGCAAGACATGTATTTTTTTTGGGTTTTCCTATGATGACTAGATTGGAAGATAATTGTATGAATTGTTATCTTTCTTACAAGCAGATGGACAGCAAGCAGTGTCAACTGTCCAGCCACAAGCTATGCAGCCTTTGGTAGCTGCTCCTGCTCCACTCGTTGTGACTCCACAGGCAGCTTTTCTCTCTCGGTTTCGCTGGTACCATGCTATTCTTGCTGTAGGAGTACTAGCAGCTTCTGGTGCTGGAACAGCTGTTTTTATAAAGGTATCATGAACATACCCCATTTATATGCAGTACATGGAGTAATTGGCTGATGATTGGGACATTAATTAAATGAAAGCAGAATATATAGGATTTCATTGTTTTTGGCTTAGGTAATGAATTTCATACCTCTCACACCCTGTTTCAACTAGACCACCAGAATATATAGTTGCCAAGAGAACTTTGATGAAAACAATCCAATAAGAGTTTGTTAGGGTGTCAGAAAGTTGTTACTTTCTGGCTTTTACTGATTGCTAGATGTGCTTTAACCCTATGCAAGTTTATAGTATGAATCTTCTTCTACAAAATCAAGAGCTTATTATAGTGACATTTGTTTTTTTGTTATCAGAAATCTCTCATACCCAGATTTAAATCCTGGGTCCAAAGAATTATGTTGGAAGAAGAAACTGACCCTCTGAAGAAAGCTGATGCTAAACCTAGCTTAGCTGAAGAAGCAGTAGCTGCAGCCAAAGCTGCTTCTGCCGCTGCTTCTGATGTAGCCAGGGTTAGTCAGGAAATGATGATAACAAAGACGGAAGGTACATATATTTCTGCAGTTTATAGTGTAGACTGAGTTTCTCTCTTTTTCTCTGTTCATTTCTGGCCTTTTCTTGGATGTTCCTTCTTTTTCTCTAAATTCAAATCTGTACTTTGCTTCTTCTCAGAGAGGAAATATTTTGAGGACTTAACGCACCTGTTAGGAGTTCAAGTACAAGAAATGAAGTCCTTGAGCAGTAATATCCGTAAGCTCGAAGGTAAGTATCAAGTCTCAGTATTCATATTCATACAATTAAGTTTGAACAACTGTTACAGGAGTCATGGAGGGTTTAGTTACCTAATGTTTGGTTGATCTTAAGAGCCATTGTTAAAACATCTTGATCTAAAGAGTATTATCCTATTTCTCTGTCTTACTTTCAGGACAATCCAACAATATTCCAAAGATTTATTCAGCTGATCAAGAGGTTTATAATGGTTCAGTCTCTGCAGCAAGGGTGAGTTTTAAGGTTTTGGTTTATAAGCACTGATTCATAGATTAGGGAATTACAAACACAAAGAAAACCCAAAAGAGAACTGTATTACCTCCTCCCTAATCGTTGATAACTCTCCAAGGATATTATACACGTGGATGAGTCTCACAACCGAGACTCTAAATAGTCTGATATAAACCTCATCAACTTGAACTTTTAAATTAAACCTCATCAACTTTTGGTAACATTAGGAACGTTAATATGTGATGCAGAAACCCTATACAAATGGCGGCAATGCTGATTATGATACCCGTTCAGGTTCTCTCTCTGGCTCAATCTGCATTCCGGTTTCTTGTTTTTGTTTAGATTATTGTTTCTGACTAATGGATAATACAGCACGATCTGCATCTCCTCCTGCACCACCAGCTGATTCGTCTGTGCCCCCTCATCCAAAGTCATACATGGATGTAATATTCTGGCATCTCCTAAGTTTGCTGCAGAATCATGGATATACAATGAATATTATCCTTTGAATTCCTAATAATCTTTGTAACATTGAGTTGAATATTTGTGATGCTGCAGATAATGTCTATGATCCAGAGAGGAGAGAAGCCTTCAAACATTCGGGTAAGTTGGAAGCTGCAATCCTTTCTCGCAACTAACCATACAGTTTGTTGTGAAAAACTTATGGCACTTTCACTAAAATCTACAGGAGATTAACGACATGCCCCCTAATCCGAACCAACCACTATCAAATCCACGCATTGCTCCCAAATCTAAGGTAGAAACGAAAAAGTCCCTGAATATTGATTTAAAGCTTCAATTCTTTGTAATGATACTTTGTGAAATGCATGGAACTGAACTTTTTATCAAGACTTCTTAAACTCGTGTTCTCTCTTTATCAGCCATGGGACTATGGTCAACCGCCGCAAGAAGAAAATTCCAATGGTCAATGGTGGCAACAGAAAAACCCTAGATCCACGGATTTCGGCTACGAGACGACAACAGCTGCGCGTTTCACCGCTAACCAAAATGAAACAAGCACAATGGAACCAGCAGCTTTCCAGAGGCAACGGTCATGGGTACCTCCACAACCACCTCCAGTTGTCATGCCAGAAGCAGCTGAGGCCATTCGCCGTCCTAAGCCACAAGCTAAGATAGACCAAGACGCAGCTGCTAGTGATGACCAGTCAGGTGTGAGCGATGAGCTACAGAAGATCACTAAGTTCTCTGAATCTGGTGGTGATGGATCAGAAAGAATTCCGATCACAGAGATACAAGAAGAAACTGAACAGCAGCAATATATCATCCCGGAAGAAAACTAAAAACAATAATTAGGGTCTCTTGATACTTTATGAGGTTTGCTTGTATGAAAACATGCATTTAGGTCTTGGGATTTATCACCACCTACCTTCATTAAATAATATATATCTTGCTACACAAGTAAACTCGTGTCATTTGATGATTGCATGCTTTATTTTCATATATTAAAACTTGTATCACACATTACCATTCTAAGCTATAAGAGAGACTGTACATAGATATAGAGTAACATTTGGTCTCAGGCTAGGCAACACAACTAGGATGAAGCATGAGTAAAGAGCTTGTAAGAAGAAATCAAAGCGCTGACGGCAAACGCTCCAAACGCTAAAAACGAAACCGCGATAGAAGCGGTTGCCATCTGAGTAAACTCGTCTTTACCCCAGTTAGAAACCCAATCATCAACTCGAGTCGCAGCACACGAAGAAGCCGACATTAGAAGATATGCAAGAAGCTAAAGCATCAGAATAAAAAAAAAAGCTCATTAGAAATCCATGTTTGATTACAAAAGGAAATCGCTAAATGTTATTAAAGCAAGACTCACTTGATCCATGGAGAAAACAAATAAGTCGTGGAATCCACAGTTCATCATATAACTCTCTTTGGCAACGTAGCAAGCAGCGTCACAAGCTTCGAAGGCAGAGTAAACGAATGCTATAATGTTCACAGCCAAACAATACCTGCAAAGAAATAAGGTTTGTGTTGATGATGATGATTTGAATGATCTGATTAAGATTTCAATTCTGAAGAGTTGGTGAAGAAGAGAGAGAGAGATAGAGACCTGTACTCTTTGTAGCGATCATAAGAATCGCCGCTCCATCCTTGAGTTTTATCAGCCGCCATGATTGAAAACGAAATCACACACAAAATAACTTGGGTGATTCTAAACGCTAGCGCCGTCACGCTCACAAACTCGTCTCTTCTTGCTCTGTTCACCGTCATCGTCGGCGCCGATTCTCCGCCGTCAACCTTCCTCGTCGTATTTTGCGGAGCGTCTTCTCTCACCCAGCGATTGAACACTACCATAGACGACGGAGACTTATCGGAAGAAGAGTTAATCGGAGCTCTGGCATTCCTCTGATGTCGAGGCGGCGGATACTGAGGAGGAGGAGGAGGCGGAATCGGGGAAGGAAGAGGCGAGAACTGCGTGAACTTGTTACCGTCGGATAAGTTCGCCGGCTTGGGATTGTCGATTTTGAACGGAGATCCTTCCGGAGAAACGTAACGGCTCTCCGGTAAATCTCCGGCATCTGATAACGGAGAATGAAATCGAAGAGGAGAGTGTGGTGACTCGCTGTAACTCTGAGCTTCCGAGTTCGATGAAACAGTCCGCTTCATCATCATCATCACCGATTCGATTCGAGTTCTTCGGCGTATGCTTCTCGGAATTTGAAATTATATTTGCAGAGCTTTTGTGTGTGTGTTATGTTATGGGGTAGTGTGAGAAAAAGTGAAGCAGGGAGAAGAGAAAAAGAAACTTTAATTTCTTCTTCTCATTTTTGTTTTCCCGGCAACAGAAGAGACCCACTTTACATTTCTTCGCGGAGAATTAAAACCCAAAAATGATCCACTGTGACGCATGTGTCTATTTGTATCTGCACCTAACCATTCATAATTCACCACGTCAGCTTATAACGCAATCATGTGCAACCAATATGTAATCAACCAATAATATAGAGCCGCGTTAGTTTCTGACGCAATCATAAGATGTTCTTATGATTCTTTTTGTGCATGTGTTTGTTTGATTTTATTTTACCCTTTTACATATTATTATGGATATGCATTTCAATTACTGATAATTCTAAAGAGTTTAAGAAATAGTTGGAAATTGACGAAACAAAACCATAGATTTGAATGGGATTTATTTTCTTAACCATGTCTAAATTAATTAAATTTCTGCAAAATAAAAAAACATAAGTGGAATTCTCGAATAGAAAAATAAGCAAAAAAAAAAAGAAGAAGTTCAAAGTAGTCTAAGAAAAACACATCAAGAAAAGGAGAATATACACCACCACGACGAAGACGAAGCTAAAGTAAAGAATCATTCATTGATCATCACTATCAATTTTGTATTTTTTGATATCAATCGTGTCAAATCTTTTATAGTATTTTGAGTATTCCCCTTTTGAAATCAAATGTCTTCTTCTATCTTTAGATTAAATTAAATATACTTAAATGAAAAAAGAAAAAGTAAACAAAAAATATATATCAAAAGCATTTTTTTGCCTTTTGTTCTTTGTTTAAAGCACAAAGCAATCCTCACCCACTCCTATATTTGCCTTTTCTTTTAAGATGTTTTACCATATATAATATATACTGTATTATATAATGTGAATTATTTTTTAGTTTCGATTAATCAGTCTCGACCTTTTTTTCTGTTAAGATAGAGGTTTCAAATAAAACAAAAGAATGAAACAATGTTCATAAATAAATATATATATATAAAAGCCTTACGAAACTATAGACAAGATGAACATCAACAAATAAGTAATTATTATATTTCAACAACAGTTTCAAATTCCAACATTGATGAGACTTTGTAGGATTTACTTTAGTTGTGAATCAGTGTATGTCTGTATGTCTACTAGATCAGGTATCCACAACCATAAGTACAACAATCGATTTTCTTAAAAATCGTTGACTTATATTGACTGTAAGATATTCATGTGATTCTCAATTAAATAAATCTCATGTGCCTCTAACAATTGTTCACGGTATTCATAGAATAATCCAACCAAATCTGTGAAAAACGAAAAAAAAAATAATAAAAAAAAAAAAAAAAAAATTGTTGCATAAAGATGAACGAATTAGAAAAAAATTAGTTGAACAAATTTTTTTTAATAACATTAATTCATTCTTCTACAAAAGAGGAGATGAATGATTTAAACACATTTGTTTATCATTTATTTATTTTTCCAGCTTCTTTTTTAATAGGTTGATATTTTTCAATTTATTCATTTTAATTGGTACAAATTTGGATAATGCTCATTCAACCTTTCAATTTATGTCATTTGTTTGCACCCTTAGTTAGATTATTTTAATGAACTAGGATTAAACCCTCAACATATTACCGGTATAAACACTCAACATAAACAAATCAAAACTAAAAACAAACTTAATTATCGTCATTTTTGACAATGTCATGCAAATTGTAGATTTTCCGCCTCTTAAATGAGGGCGTGACTGATGACATACCATACTATTTGTGCAAAGGCAGCATCCACATTATGTCCTTACATGAGAGATGAGGATATTGTGTACGAAAACACAACAAGCCACTTTATCATATCCAGTAAAACATAGCTGAGACTCGTTACCAGTTATTATTTACATAGTTAAAATAAACTAGATTATTCTTATTATATATATATATATCATGGACAAGCATTAAAAGTAAGTAAAACATTAAGTCCATAATACACAATAAGATAACATAAAAAAAATAACTGAGAGCATACACATATATAATCTTAACTTTGTTACCTCCAAGTTCTAAATTCGAGATTAGTTTTTCATATTACGTACAATTCCATTCATCCGCAATCCCTAGGGTTACCATTGATAAATTTTGTTACCAGTGATGTTTTACCAACCCTAACCAAATCAAACAAAAAACTTCAAAGATAAAGGACTTAGAAAGGGTGGATAAATTTTCCTATTTCTCTCCATGAGAATGGGATATTGAGATTAATTTTCTAAAAACAACATACAATAGATAAGCTGTTGGAGTTTTGAACAAGAATAGTACATGCATGTTGCTTCTTTGAAGAAAATTATGATGTAAAACAACTTGTTTACTATATTTACTTGAACTTTCGTTTGCATTCTCTGTTTTTTTTTTCGTTTTCTTTATTTTTGATATATATGGTTGACAAATGTTGCATTTAATTATGTCTTCACAATTATTAGCCTGAAAATCAATTAATAAGAATAATTGTGTACGAATATTTTTGATAATACCATAAAAAAATACTTTCAGCAAATTCTCTAATTCAAATTTTGTAACACCACTAAAATAAAACAACAACACTGTGGTATATATTATTGTACACTAACTAACTAGATTAATAACTTGTGTTGGTGTCCGGAGTATTAATTTTGTTATCAACATTTTGAATTGGTGATCATGAGTTATGTATGTAATATATTGAGAATACAAAACATATCAAATGTTCTAAACTAGTAGAGATGAAATATGTATATATCTTGGTTTAATAGATAAATTGAAATATTATTTTATTTTTTTTGTCCAAAAAAAAAATAGATAAATTGGAATATATGTGTTTACTAACGAATATACAATAATATAATTACAACATTGAAATAATGGTTTTGAAAGTGGAAAATGTCGTTTGTATAATTACATGAGTTTTATGAAGAACAATTAGAAAAAATAATAATTGTAATTACAAACTATAAAATCAATAAGAATATTCTAATTGAACTTTACGATATGGGAAAAAATCTATTGTAGTTTTAATTTAAATAATATTTAATTGTAGTGTGTGTTTTTTCAATACTAAAGATAATCGTAAATAGTAAAAAGGGTTTGACTTGGCCATCCACTATCGATTAATTATTATAGTACAGATCGATAAACAATATAGTGAATTGTATGCTCATCTACTAATCTCCTCTGCTTTTTGGTGTAATGTGAATGACATAACATTTGTTTTCTTTTAGCTTAAATAATGAAATTCTTATCAAATGAATTAGTCGTTGAAGTATTTTTCTATTAAAAGTTTTGCATGACAAAAACAACTACAACTTAGTATGAATTTCTTGGGGAAAAAATCAAGAATGCACTTAGAAGCATAAGGCCTTTTCCCATTATGATAGTATTTAATAGAATGTAGTTAACACTTACATTAGTCACAGTTTGGTGGGTTTGTACATTTATATACAGCAGAAGCAGGTTGCTTATACACAGGGATGCTATTTGCATCTAATAATCTTACTTCTCCTGGTCCAAAATACAACTCCGAGTGCCTTCGAAGGTCGAGGCCTTGAATACCAGCTTGTAACACCGATAAGTTGTCTGAATCAGGCGAAACAATAACGATAGTGTCTTCAGAGTATTGAGTCTCGAGAATGGACATGAGCTGCGTCACACGCACAAAGACATCTGATACACTCTCGTTGGGCGTACCGTCGCTTATAGGAGGAGGTTTTGTCTTCATTGATATTGAGTCTAATGCATACACCTGCAAAGAAGATGAAACCTTAATACTCTTGTTTCTTATAGTCTCATTTTTACATGTTTAAATGTGATGGAATTGTTGAATCTTACTTCTGAAATGGAATCTAGCTTCCTGCCTTCGTAAGCTCCTAATCCACGAGCATCAAGGAAGCTGTACTCTGGAACTATATAGCTGCGAAAACCAAAACATTAAAAGGTACCATCACAAAGATTAGACTCCACAATTGTAACCTCAGTAAAGAGTAATAAGACTAAAATGGAATAACTATTTACCTGCGGCTAACTCCATTGATAGCGGCGATGATTTCAGCAGCCTGATAAGCTCTCTGTGTTATGGAAGGCCAGAGCCAACAGCTTCGATCGCAAGCTCCCATTTCCTTTAACTGTATTGCAGCTCTCACCGTCTGCTTCTTACCTTTATCTGATAATCCGCTATCTACCGATGTTTTGGCCACAGGGTTTGTGTTGATTATCCCCAAGCTTTCGTAATCAGATTCCCCAGCTCTCACAAGGTAATAACTTTGAGTCAAGAAAAAACACACAAAACAAAACACACTGTTTATTAGCTCACAAGATATGCTTCAAATCAGAGTTAGTTGACCTTATCTGGAAACAAAATCAAGAACAAGAATCAGGAGCTTGGGATCATATGTAAAGCCATGGATCAACTCTTCAAACACTTTGGAATCTCACCAAAACACAACACCTTTACAAGAGCCTTCGACGCAAACTAAAATTCCAAATTCGGTCGCAAGTATCAAATCTTAAATCTATCAAACTTAGTTCCAAGCAAAAGAGTGAAGAGACTGAGACACACAAATTGTTGTATACACAGAGTATCAAAATTAGGGGTTTCGAAAAACGTGAATTACCGATTAGAGAGGCGGAGAGGCGGCATTTGAAAGAGGCCGCGTGCGTTGGCTGGTGCGACGGTGGAGACGGAGAGTGATGGTGTAGCAATACATACGGAGAGAGTCTTGAAAAGGTCTCGGCGGGTAATAATCTGCGACGAGGAAAGTGAATTCAGAGGAACTTGGTACGTTTCCGATGACGGAGGACGATGTGCGGCGGTGGTGACCGCCGGCGATGATGATAACATATTTCAATCGTCATCTCAAACGGTATGTCTGGTCTCCCGTGTTTTAAGGATTACAATACAAAAACCACAATTGTGAATCGCACATTCCGGTTTAGATCATTGGTTCGTTTCTAAAATCGAATCGGGTAAACCGGTAGTTTTCTCAACCACATTATTAAATGACAATTTTACCCTATTTTTCGTCTGTGGTGTCAGGTTATGTTCGACCAGGACTAAAACAAACCTAAAGCAAGAGTACCTCTGTTTATTACTCTGTTCTTAACATCAAATAGTCTTACAATTTCCAAAAACAAATTTATACAGTAATCTAAAAACTTCGAGTAAAACTAAATAATGTAACAAATTACAAAGATTCTCAACTTATACGAAAGTTATAATCGTTTCAACAAAAAAGAGTAACCCCTTTCTTCCAACACAAGAAAACTTCATAAACTGCTTCGAGAGGTTCCACTAGTTCATTTTTTTCTTCATAGGCTTCCACATAATATAAGTAACAAGAACTTCATCTCACTTCTGAGTCTATCTTTGACCTATGGATGAAGCACCGTCGACGACTGAAATAGCTGCAATTATCAAGCTTGGCCAAGTTCGATTCCAGCATTCGAATATCGCTTTTCGTCATCTTCATCATCGTTCCAGTTAGTTGTTTTGTAGTACGTTACGTATAGTATAAGTTGGACAATTCCTGATAGTGATCCAAGACCATTTGGAATCTGTTTTCATGGAAGATAATTAGCCCTTTTTGAGATTACTGTATACATATATGGGATTGAGTTTCCAATATATATATAAAAGAATATGAATATGAGGGTTGAAATGTATCTTTACCAAGATATAGGGGTCGAATTTAAGACAAGCATAAATGACCCAAACGACACCGTTCATGAAGTTGGCTAATGACAGGAAGAAGGGCATGTACTTCACGCTCTTTGTCTTTATCACAAGTTTCTGCTCCACATTAAATTAAATTAAAACTCATTAATTGTGTAAGTTCACGAGACAAAGAGGACAAAATAAAAAAACAGTTGATAGTAGTGTATTCAAATTTTTTGGGCATTTCCGTGACTAATAAGTAGTCTAGAAACAGAAAATCATACCATGACGGTGAGAGGAGCAGCATACATGATAACGTTAAAAATGATACACAAGATCCCAATAAGCATAGATCTCTGTTTTGTTGTATGCAAAAAATACAATGTGCAGAAGATCACCACCACCATGAATATCACCTCAATCACCATAGCTATTGTGATCTTTCTCTGTAACAATAATCACAACTTCACATATCAAAAAATATCTTGCATGCGTGTTAACATTATACATTGGGGAATTAGAAAAAGGCTTACGCGGACAGGGGAGGTAGCGAAGATGAAGAAGATGGTGACGTAAACGAGTTCCATGAAAAGACCAGTTCCATTGATGGTGATGACGAGGAGACTGTCGGGCTGGACGAAAGGAAGTCCGTAAAATGTCCACATCATGCAGTTTAAAACCGTAGCTACGTATGGATCTGGCTTAAACTCCGACACAGATTTCATCTTCCATATCTTCACCATCGTTGGTCTGCATCATTACATATATTTCACATACGTGTCATTGCATGCATTAATTTAAACATCATGGTTCAATGCATGCAACAGCAAAAATAATATAGTCACCGTGTGCTTACATTGGAGCGCAGAACAAGCCGAAAGAGATCACGTTCCCTATAAACATTTAACAGAACAACCAAGAAATTAACAAGTTTTTTTTGTTGTCTAATCAAAATTTATAATGGAGGACTTACCGATGATTCCGACGACCGTCCGGGCGGCATGGGCGTCCGTCATTTCTTCTTCTTTGTATATCTAAGAAAGAATTAAATTTCTTTGTCTTCTACAAAACTTTTCCAAATAATTAATTTATATGTTTACGAAAACAAAAGGAGAAGAAAAGCGATTGTTTCGATCCTTCTTTTCGATGATTCTTGTTTATATATACTTTTCTTTACTGCCTTTCTCTTTTGTTTTTGTTTTTTTTGGGTGTGGTTTCTGGGTTCTGTTTTTTGTTTTTTGTTTTTTTGGTATATAGATTATATTTGGTTTCTGTTTTATGAACAAGAAGAAAAAAAAAAAAAAAAAAAAAGGATTTTAATAGTGAGTCTGTGAAACAAGAGCAGAATCTGGGTAGAGTAACAAATACATGACACGTGGTCTGAAATTTGAACCATGAAGCCGTTGACTCCGCTCGTACCCCATGCATGAGAAACACCCGGCTCTTCACCACCCTCCCTCTCTCTCTTACTCAAACATATTATTATAGCTTTATGAAAATCTTCATCATAATGAAACAACAATTAGTTATACTAACACACTAATACAAAACTACAAAGTATTTTTATAAATAACTAATCGTTATAGAAATAGCTCGTTTTATTTTTTTTTTGTTTACACATGTATTATATACGTACGTCCTTTTCATTTATCTATTAGTTATTAACTATTTTACATATGATATTAATTAAAAAAAATAAAAAAAAATTACATGCTGTTGGTTCGTGAAGACGCATGAATCGTCGTATCTTTGCATTCGGTACGAAGTTTTGATGACAGAGACAAGAGTTAGGTCATCGTTATTAGGGGATCTTACACCCCCTTTTCTTAAAAAAAAGATCTTGTACAATGAGCGTTGTCAAACTTATAATCTATAATACAGGACATATCCATATATGTGGTGGGTTCAAACATTTTAGTAAGACCTTGTCCCGTTTGTTTGCAATAATAATAATGCAGTACGCAAAGTGGGAAATTTGCATTCTCGTAGTTGCGATACGAATCGAATCAAAGACGAAGCGAAACAAAACACAAGCCTCAAACTTTCAATAGATTTGCTGACTCAAAATTTCTAAAGTGATCTCTTCTAAATAAATTTTTTTTTTTTTTTTTAATGTAGGTTGGGATTTTAATATCTAAAACCTAGTGGGCATAAAACTGGGGGTGCTTGTATTGTTACTATTTTTTTCCATTCTTTATCCATCGCCGCCAAATAGAAAATATAATCCGAGAAAGAAAAAAAAAAGTCATAAACCCTAACACCATGAAGAGAGGAAGACAAGAGAAGAAGACCTCATCATCACGATCTCGAAAACTACGCCAGCATGACAGCGAAATCTCCGACAGAGAAGATTAAAACGGTGTCCATATCCCTTTCGATGTATTAACCGATATACTCTCGAAGCTCCCTGTGAAGTCACTTGTGAGGTTCCAGTGTGTATCGAAGCTGTGGTCATCTCTTATCACAGCCTCGATCATGACACGGTCGTTATTCTCGCCCTCTACTTATCCTACGAATGATATATCATTCATATACCCAGAAAAAGACACTAGTTATATATTAAATCATGGGCGAAGTTGGGATTTTGAGTATCAATATATCCGAGGAGTATTCTGTGGTTGGTCAAGCTCGAATTACAAGGATAACAATAAGAGTGAAACGATTTTACTACCGGAGGTAAAATATGACAAATGGAGCAGCTCCTGTGATGGATTGTTTGGGTATGATCCAGCTGAAAAACAAGTATTTACATTGCTGGGAGGTCCAATGAAGCGGGGGTGGAGAGGCCTTGACATCCAAGGAATTTGGAATCGGTCTCCAGAAGCAAGGAGTACTGGTGTATGCCTGAATGAGTTTATCTATTACATAGCAGCACATGTAGAAGAAAGGAACAATGGTGATGACCCGGAGTTGTATGAATTAGTGAGGTTCGACCTTAGACTCGAAAGGTTTGATCATATCCAGATGCCCATAAATGTGCAGATGAATCATCAGCTCAATGAAGTGAGTTACGATGAATTGACTTTGGTAAAGTACCAAGGGAAATTAGGATGCATACGTTACAACAAAGATGTGTTATGATCCCAAGCAAAACAAGCGTTATATATTACCTTTAGAATATTCCAAAGGGGGAACGGAACGCATTTGTTCAACTGGTTTCCTTGGTTTATACTGGTTTTTATATTAAATATCACTTTTTTTTTGTTCACATTTTGTTTTATAAAGAATATTTATTTGCACCAGCCTAAGGCTTAATAAACTTCGACAATATTCCAAAACGAGATTCTTCTAGATCGATCGGAATGTAACGTACGTTGAGTATCCTTGTTTCTCTGTTTGATTTTCCATGCATCTCTATCTATATATATATATATATATATACACTTTCGTCACTGTAACTGTTTCGTCCCCAATAGGAAAAGAAGAACAAATTCCCAAAATATTTGTTAGAAAACAATCCAATAATTTAAAGGGAGACGACACCATACGTATCTGTATAAATATTAAATTCAATAGTTGAGGTTTATGGTGCCAATCCCATGTCTCTAAACGTTAGTTGTATCAATTCTTACATATGTAATATATAATTTTTTTGTAAAACTTAGAATTTATTGATAATTTGTTTACATATTAGAATGTATTGCCATTGTTTGTCAGAACTATTCTAGTGCTGTGTTTTATATCAAAATATGCCATGGCCCATGGTACATAATTCAATACAATTGTTTTTCTTTTTTTTTTTTGGGGACAAACTATTCAATACAATAGTTATCTTTTATGAAAGAGAAGTTGACTTTCATAAGTAGAAACAAGAGTACAAATTTTTCATGGTTTTTTCGAGGAATTAACATAAAAAAAAGATGTTTTATACTTTAGTATAATAAGACGTAACAAATGTACTTTAACAAGTGTATATATATATATACAGAGACAGAGCCAATCATATCCATTTACAGAGAGGCTAAAACTTAAATCAAGTTGTTCATTTCTTTCATCTCAGTATTGACCCTCAAAACAAAAGCCTCTCTCTCTCTCTCTATCTATGGAAGTTGCGCAATCGGATCCAACCCGGGATCCAGATACCCGTTACGATCGACTTTGCTGCTCGTGTTTCCCCAGCTTCCGATCAAGAAGCTCCACCTCCGCCGTTGGATACTCCTCCTGGGGACGAATTCCAACCGTCGATGACAATAATACTCACAGCGGCGACGAGCCACGGTGGTGGATCCGAGCAAGCTTGAAGGTCCGAGAGTGGTCTGAAATCGTAGCTGGTCCACGCTGGAAGACTTTCATACGGCGATTCAATCGCGATCCAAGACGCGGCCGCGACTGGGACGCAGGCGAGAAGTTTCAGTACGATCCTTTGAGTTACTCTTTGAACTTCGACGACGACGACGAGGACGAGTACGTCGGATTGGGTGGATTGCGAAGCTTCTCCACTCGATTCGCTTCTGTTCCGGTCTACTCTGGTAAAGCTCCGGCGAATTCTCCGCCGTCTTTGTCTGCGTTGACGCCGCGTGATGAGATTATTGAAAGTTAGTGGGCGCGTGTGATAAACGCGTTTGCGTTCCTGGCGGCGGAGGCGAAAAGGCTGTCAAAATGGTTGACTGTTTTGGTATTACATCTTTTTTTTTTTTTTTTTGGGTCTGTCGCGTTCTTCCCGTTTCCTAATTATTTTTGAATGTTTATATTAATCGACTTTGAATTATGTATTTTACAAACGGAAATTGTTCTGTTTCTTGAAAGAGAAGCAATATTTTGTTTCTGTTTTGGGGTTTAGGAATAATTACGTAAATTAGCTGTATAGCATATGTGGAAGTAATGATTAAGTTAATCATATGATTTGAACAATTATTATATAATTAGTTGCTTGATATGATTTATATAATCCCACTCAAAGAAATTCTCTTTATCGAAAGCATAGTTTAAATTAATTTTATTAAATTAGAATAAGAACAAATCAACAGTTTTTATGTAGTATGCATTAGCTACCATTTTTACTTAGTTCCTTGAAGGATTTGTGAATGGGGGATAGATAAAGCTAAAATGTTAATTGGTGAGCGTTATATTTTCTTGCACAACAATATCCAAAAAAATTTAACAGCAAATTATTTATTATGACCGATAAGAACAAGAGAGGCAATACGTGGACCTTTTTACGCAGGCCGGGTTCGGATACGGCCCATGTATTGATTGTTCAGGCCCGTCGCATTCATTAGTTTGTTTGATAAAAATAGTTTTTTTATATATTTTTTTCTGAAGAACTATGATATTCCAAAGAAAATGTTATTTATTTTATATAGTTGTTATATTTTTTCTAATGGCGGTTCAACATTGAATGTTTCTCATGTTTTTGTTTTAACCGCATTAAGGACATCAAGTGATTTTTTGGGTTAATTGTTAGGTTTTCCCCCACATTCTTTATTTATTTTGGATTATTTAGTGGAATATATATATATATATCGTTTTGTTCTTGTTTCTTTTCCTTGACGTTATCTTTACACCAGCACTATATAATATAACTATATATACTTTGATATCTCTCTACTAATCTTCCTTAGAGACCAAAGTTACGAATTCTCACTTACATATATATTGATAGTTATACACACATGTGCTTAGTTTAATGATAACTAACCCTCGTTAGGTTTATTCCATAATTTTCTGCCATTTTATTGTATTGGCAAGATTATTGGTAGTATTTAAGGGGTATCTTAGAAGAAGATACCCTTCACAAAGTATCATACTTTGTGAAAGGTATCTTCTTCTAAGATATGATACTTTGTGAAGGGTATCTTCTTCTAAGATACCCCTTAAATACTACCAATAATGATGGTAGCTACTTTTTAGTTTATTTGGATGTTCTTGGTGGGAATAGCTTGCGAATAAAGAACCTAAAAAAAAATACACCTTTGGTTGGAGACTAGAGAGCAATTTGTTTCCCGTGGTCCTTCCTTGTGAACACCTCTCTCTAATTAACATACATACTTTTGCATTTTCATATATATATATATATATATTCATTGATGGTGGTTGCGTCGCCGTCGATATAGCCGTAGGTATTACTCCAATAATAAACTTCTTAATTTTATCTTTATACTATATAAAAATCAAAAATAACTTAGTTAATCATTTAACTGATGGCTGTCCACACAGAGTTTGGCTCCAACAAATCAATTATTTAAACACACCTCAAATTATTTTTATACGCACTTTTTACTTTCTAAACCGGGACTATAATCAATTAATTAATCATACCCATTAAGTTATTAACAAACAAAAAGGAACTATTTGGTAAGAGAGTATTCAATTTTCTAATAACAGTACTATCCAAAAGTTGTTCTATACCATCCTTTGTAAAATCTTTGGAGGGAATATTTTTTTAATTGCTGGTTGTTGCCAACGAAACTCTTGTTGGCCAATTATTTTAACATTATTATGAGTAAATTAGATGATAAGTTTTTATTTCTCTAAATTGTAGGTCCACATTAAAAAAAAAAAAGAAGCCAATTTATCCAAATGTAAATGTTAAAATGAATATTCTAAAATATAATTACAAAAAATTACAATTAGTTTTACTCCTTAACACTTTTAGTATCAATGTAGAGAGGAAAAAAAACAAAAATAGCGAAACATGTATTCGACAGTACATGTTAATGGATGCATATATCATATATGGTACTCTCCATATTATAAAGCCATGCATCCTCACTTGACACTGTGTGGCTCAACGTGACCACTATTATTAAGAACTTGCGTGAATAATATTGTTCTAAGACACAAAATTAAAACTAAGATTGAATCAGCACAGTTTGGTTAATAAATTTCCAATACAACAAATACGTATTTGGTTGCTGGTTTAGGAGGAGAGTTATACAATAAATGAAGTAAGAATTTGGAAAAGAAAGGAAAGATGGAGGCAGACGGATCATGTGAGTCACCACCGCTCCATCTCTCTCTCTCTCTAATATCTTCAAGTTCAAACCAAACAACCAAAAAGGAAACAAATCCACCAAACACTAATTTTTTTTTATATATTTCTTCTTTTTTAGCAAACAGAAGAAGAAGAAAAAAGAAAAGTAAAAAATAGGAAAATTGGAAAAAGGAACAGAAAAAATAATAAATTTGTGCAACAAACCTTTCAATGTTCTTCTTCTCTATTGTGTGGGTTTGTTCACTTTTTTCACTCTTCTCTTTTTAAGTAATTCAACTTCATTTCTCTCTCTCTCTCTCTCTCTTTGTTTTTTTTTGGAGTTTTCTCTCTTATTCTTCTTCTTCCTCGTCTTTCTTGTTTTTTTTTTTTTTTTGATTTCTCATGTTTGTTTGATATAAAAAAAAAAATGGCTTCAAGTGCGTCAAAGTTCATCAAATGTGTGACTGTTGGTGATGGTGCCGTTGGTAAAACCTGTATGCTCATCTGCTACACCAGCAATAAATTCCCTACTGTGAGTTTCCCTTTTTAATATACCTCTCTTTCTCTCTTATGATTTTGATCATGAATCTCATCTGCCTCTCTCAGATTTAGTTCAAATTTTACCAAACATATTCAAAAAAATCAATTTCAGTATCTGGTTCTTCTAAATTTCATCAGTTTCTTCTTGCCATAGTTAGAATCTATCTGGGTATATCAAAGTTTGCTCCTTTTCCTAGGGATTGTGCATGAAACCTACAAGATCCATTTTTGGGGAAATTTTAAAATGTTATACTTCCCTTTTTTTTTTTTTTCTAAGTATGTGTGGCGGCGCATCTGGGTTTTTGCAGCTTTAGTATGTATATAGTCCAGCTTTATGTTATCTCTTTCTCTTAATGATATTATTATAAATATGTCATTCTTTGTCTGATTTGGTCTCTATGCTGAAACTGTGGACTGATTTGATGAAATTGTTTGTAACCAACAGGACTACATACCAACAGTTTTTGACAACTTTAGTGCAAATGTCGTTGTTGAAGGCACCACTGTGAATTTAGGCCTGTGGGATACTGCTGGTACGTATGAACAACACTCCTTCCCAAATTCATATTATCCATCCGATTGTCTTGAATCCTTTCGTGGTTTTGAACATTATACTATTGGTCAAGTTCTTTGATTTGGTGTGTTGTTGGATTGGCTAAATCCATTGAAGGGATTTGTCTTTTGGAAGTTTACATGTTTCCTTTGTTTGCAGGACAAGAAGACTATAACAGATTAAGGCCTTTAAGTTACAGAGGAGCAGATGTTTTCGTCTTGTCTTTCTCATTAGTCAGCCGAGCTAGCTACGAGAATGTTTTTAAAAAGGTTTGTTATGGAATTATGGATCCATCGTTTTCTTATGCTGAAAACGATCACCTTTCATTTTACTGTACATTGAGCCGTTTCTAATGTTATATGACTCTTCTTTTTGAGTCAGTGGATCCCTGAACTCCAACACTTTGCTCCAGGGGTTCCCCTAGTCCTTGTCGGTACCAAATTAGGTAAGAAACCGATGAGCATTTGTACCAATATATTTAGATACATAGCATAGTTAATGATTCTTACAACATTGGTGTAGATCTCCGTGAAGATAAGCATTATTTGGCTGATCACCCTGGACTATCCCCTGTTACTACTGCACAGGTTTGGTTTTAGAGCCTTTTAACTGTAGATTTCAAGTCATTCCGTTTCAAGGCTTGAATTTGCATTTCTATGTGATAGGGAGAGGAATTGCGTAAGCTAATTGGCGCGACATATTACATTGAATGTAGCTCAAAAACTCAACAGGTACATTATACCTTCCATTGAATGATTGCCTTCAATTACTAGTACTTTTCTTCGGATTAACAAAGCCTTGGAAGTTTTACATCTTTGTAGAATGTGAAAGCAGTTTTTGATTCGGCGATAAAGGAAGTGATCAAACCACTGGTTAAACAAAAGGAGAAGACTAAGAAGAAGAAGAAGCAAAAGACGAATCACGGCTGTTTATCGTGAGTAATATATAAATCCAAATCTTGTCACAAAACTCTGCATCTTGAATCCTAAGGGATACTGATTTCCTTTTTGTTTTTTCTAATTTGTACAGAAACGTTCTGTGTGGGAGGATAGTGACTCGGCATTAATGATGATGACTCAACTCAGTCTGATGATGATTTTTAAACTCCACTTTTGGGATTGTGTGATAAAGTATGGGAGACTTATATATATATATATATAGATTGAATCATGGAAGAGATTATTAGCCTCTAATCAATCAATAGTTACCTTGGGAGTGAGTGAGTGATAGAGAGAGTGGGAGAGAGGGAGATAGAGAGCTTCTTATGAACTCATATTATGTTTATTTGTTTTAAAAACCTGTTATTGCAATATATTAGCCATTTTGATGCAACAGGGGAATTAAATATTGAAAATGGTATGAGACTTGTTTTGATTGCAAAGGAGAGATTGACCAACCCCAATTGATACCAATTGATCTTGTTTTGTCTTATAAAATTGACAAAAGAGATAAATAAAAACACCATTTTAGTTAATTTTTTAAAAAATGACATTAGTATATTCGTATACCAACAAAACACACTACAACATGTTTTAACCATAACTAGCTCACGTGTTTCAACCATAACTAGCTGAAAAATTACAAACCATGGCAGAATTATATCTCTCAACCTTATACCATGTGCAGAAACGTTCTGTGTGGGAGGATTATACAGTCAAACACCAAAACGCAGAGTTTAATCACCCGTAACCGAACAAATTTAAATGGGTCCGAAGAATCGGTGAGGTTAGAAGATTGGGCCTTATCCGGCCCAAACTTGACGTACCCCTTTCTGTTTTTTTCTTTTTAGCTCCTTTATAAAAGCAACTTCTTTTTTTCTTTTTGATATATTTTTGA